TGCATTGACTCAGGAGATGAACATATCTTGTTTTTGCTGGAAAAAAATCAATCTAAAAGTGCTCCAGATGTCTTCAGATACTTCAATCTTTTGTGATCACACACAATTTGAAAGAGTGAAAAGTTTCTTTCGCACATCCCCAGACTCCCACTTTTCTCTTCAAGATGAGCTTTTCAAAGGAAGGAATGATTGAGCTCAAAGTCAAGCCAGGCAGAACACATCTGCATATGATGTTTGACTGCCTTGTCAGAGGTAAGTTATAAAACTCAGCTACAGCATGCCTGGACTTACTCATCTGAAGTCCCTACAGTAATACTGATACTTCTGCTGAGTAGTTTATCTATTTTCTGCCATCCTTCTGCCAGGAAAGACAAGCACAATACTCTCAATAAAACAAAACAAAACAAATAAAACCAAAAGAAAAAAACACAACAACAAACAACACCACCCCCCTCAAAAAAACAGCTTAGGGAAAAAAAAAAAAAGAAATAATAATCCCAGAATCACAGAATCTTAGGGGTTGGAAGGGACCTCAAAAGATCATCTAGTCCAACCCCCCTGCCAGAGCAGGATCACCTAGAGTACATCACCCAGGAACAAATCCAGGTGGGTTTTGAATGTCTCCAGCAAAGGAGACTCCACAGCCTCTCTGGGCAGCCTGTCCCAGGGCTCTGTCACTCTCACAGTGAAGACGTTTTTTCTGATGTTTACATGAAACATCCTATGTTCCAGTTTGCACCCACTGACCCTTGTCCTATCACTGGACAGCACTGAAAAAAGCCTGGCTCCATCGTCCTGACACTCACCCTTCACATATTTGTAAACATTAATGAGGTTGCCCCTCAGTCTTCTCCAAGATAAAGACACCCAGCTCTCTCAGCCTTTCCTCCTCATAAGGGAGATGTTCCACTCCCTTCATCATCTTTGTGGCTCTGCACTGGACTCTTTCAAGCAGTTCCCTGTCCTTCTTGAACTGAGGGGCCCAGAATTGGACACAATATTCCAGATGTGGCCTCACCAAGGCAGAATAGAGGGGGAGGAGAACCTCCCTTGACCTACTAACCACACCCTTTCTAACACACCCCAGGATGCCATTGGCCTTCATGGCTAAAAAGGCACATTGCTGGCTCATGGTCATTCTCCTGTCCACCAGGTCCCTTTCTCCTACACTGCTCTCCAGCAGGTCAGCCCCCAACCTGTACTGGTACATGGGGTTGTTCTTCCCCAGATGCAAGACTCTACATGTGCCCTTGTTGAATTTCATCACATTTCTCCCCTCCCAACTCTCCAGTCTGTCCAGGTCTCACTGAATGGCAGCACAGCCTTCTGGTGTGTCAGCCACTCCTCCCAGCTTAGTGTCATCAGCAAACTTGCTGAGGGCACACTCTGTTCCCTCATCCAGGTCATTGATGAAGATATTGAACAACACTGGTCCCAGTACCGACCCCTGAGATCTCCAACTAGACTCTTTCCCATTGACCACAACTCTCTGACTTCTTCCTTTCAACCAGTTCACGATCCACCTCACTACCTGACCTTCAAGAGCACACTTCCTCAGTTTATCTACGAGGATGTTGTGGGAGATGGTGTCAAATGCTTTACTGAAATCAAGATAAAACACATCTACTGCCCTACTATAATTTATCCACCTAATCTTTCCAACACAGATCATACATAGACTAACCAGGTTAAAGCTAAGTTAGCAAATCATATTCTTCATTAAAACAAACTTGACCATTGTGGATTGCATTTTGAAACCTTCTAATATAAATATTCTATTCTCAATATTTCCATTATAAATAAAAGTTTTTTCTTTGTGCTGAGAAACCAGCGTTTTCATGGTAACTTTATCCATCTAGAAGTACATTAAAATCTGCATTCAAGACTGATTGCGTACAGAAAACTGTGGCATGCATGCTGGCCTTGTACCTTCAGGGACCTTTGAGCTATGGTTCCTCTGTGCTGTGCAGCTGTAAACTTCATTACATGCTCCCTCCCAGATCGGTAGCAAATAGCAGAAATTGAGTGCTGGTTCTGACTTCAAAGATAGACTCCCAAGGATCATGCTACAAGTAAATGAAGTCCTTACCCACTAACCATGATTATTTAAAATAGTTCTATCCACACATCATGTTTCCTTAAAACAAATTTATCCAGCATCCCTCCAGTTCCTGTTCTGCATATGGGAAAGGAAGAGAGAATGGGGTTTTCTGTCCCACTGCACCTGTGTATTGAGGGCATAGCTGCTTCCCACAACAAATATCTAGAATTATGCATCAACTGAAAGAGCAGAGTCAATATCAAAGAGAAAATTTCTCATTCCTCTGCATGACATCAGGTGTAATGGAAACATGAAGGTGTAATATGGCATGTTGCCTTCTATTTCTGAGCTTACCACAGCTCACAGTTTCAACATGACACCTAGTATTTCATGAAAGAAGAATAGATACACAAATTTCATTTATTTATCAGGTGACCTCTCTCCATTAATAAAATAGACAAAAGGGTCCATTTCCACATGAAAAATAAACAAGAGCTCTGTTGGATGCTTGCCATGCAATTAGTACTTGGCCTCTGCAAATCCCTCTGTACTTGAACTTGGGCAAATCTCATGAGGGACTGAATTTTAAAATGTGCAACTGCTTAAAAATTATTATTCTGTAAAAAAGAAGTATTTTAATATCTAAATAAAACTGATCATTTCTGCCAGTACAGTGAACAGATACTGTCTCAGTCATAGGTCTCAGCTGAGTAAGGATTAAAACTTACTGATTAAACTTTGATGTCAAAACCATAACTCTCATGTCTTTACCCTCCTATCCTAAAAGGTTTATCCTTTTGTTGGAGACACTGGCAGCTCAAAGGACATAAAAACTTTCTTAATAGCATACAACAAGACTCAATGCTCTCTCAAGAGTGCAGTAACCCACAGAGAGAAGTAGAAATTCATTAAATCGTCTTGTCATTAAAAAAGAAAATCACACAACCACCCAGAAAGCATCCTGACATTTCTAACTGAAAAGGGAGAAAAGACTACTTTCAGAAAGACTGTTCTTGAAATAGCTTATAAATATCCCAATTAAAACAAAAGATGTCTAGAGGGCAGATGAATTAATGAAAACTGCTTTCCTATTGATGAGGAGACAATTGGGCAATGCAACTGCTCTCCTTTCCCCTGTCCAGACGTACACAATAGATTTGCTTTCTCCCCTCCTCTCCATGTCCCCTGTGACTTCCATGTCCCCTTTTGCATTGCCCAGCCCCCAGGAAGACAGGGCAGAGCCACAGCTGCTCCGGAGCTGTGCCCATATGGATTGGCTGGAGGGCTGGAGCCAGACAACACACTCAGTGCCCAGGTCCTTCCCACTGCCCTTCAGAGTGGGGTACTGTTTTGGGGTCTCTCCTCCAACCAGCCATTGCTTTTCATGAGACACATGGAAACTTAATTCTCTTTGAGATTTATACTCCTTTTTAAATTTGGCTCAGATTGCCCAGCAAGCTGAAAATATTCTTACATATAGACAGATAGCATGATCATATGAACTTAATTTCCTTAGAAAACCAGGCTGATAGAAATAATAATGAAAAATACAGCAGGTAGATTCATAACACAGCACAGTATCTGTAAGTATCTACATAGATACATACAGTATCTGTAAGTGTGAAACTATTGTGATTATAAAAAGTTCAATCAGACTAAAAAAAAGTGGCAAAGAGAGCAAATATTTCCTTATTTCCTCTTCAGTGCCAGTGCACAGACACAGCAGGCTCAAAACTTACCTGCAGGTCTAACTTTGGGAACCGTTTTCATTTCTTTTAATCTTAAGATATAGTCTGACCTGCTTTGGTTATCTCCCTTATAAAATAAAATACTACACTGCAGACTACATGACTTGTAAACCCAACCTGGTGTTCAGCTTTTTTTTTGCTGAAAATCCCAAGGAAAGGCAGAAGAATCTTAGTATAATCAAAGACACTGAGGTTGCAGACTGCAGCCTGTCTTCTCAGAGATATTTTTCTTTCTTGGGCTTGATACCAATATTCATTTTTAATTCCTTTCCATGATGATGTATTCTTTCATAGTTTATTCTTTCCCTGCTTTGTTTAGTCTTCTAATCTCATGTCATAACATAAAGGAAAAAAAATGGATAATCTAGCATTACCCAGCAGAAAGCAGGCTCCTTGGGAGCCATTAAACAGAGTAGGAAACTTATCACTTCTACACACAGGGTTTTATTGCCTTTGTGCTGATGCATTCTTTGAATATATATCTTTAAAGAAAAGCATAGATTGGCTGCGCACATCACAGAGCCGTCTGTTGTTAAAGCTGTGCCTAGGCTGAGTGCACTTGTTTGGTGGCACCAACACCTGCCCTGTGGAAGAAGACAGATGGCATCTGGCTAAAGGCTCCCTGTTCTCTGCACACAATGACATGGTTTTCCGTGGTGACAGCAGGCACTCTGATGGAGATGGCTGAGTTTAGATATTTGGGTTTTTGGCTGTGTCATAGGCCTTCTTTTGAGTCTATCAAGAAACACTGCAAATTAGGATAAAGTACACAAAGTGAAATAAAAAGAGTAATTTCTGCCTTTGCTGCCTTTGTTAACAAGGCTCTATCCAGCAGGCATTAACTTTTGCCCTTTCCTAGATATCAGTTGACTCCATTCTTTCTGAGATCTCTAATTCTGCTATCTGCAGACATGTCATCATCCTTCAGGAGATGGTTCAGGACTGCAATGCAGAGTGCTCTTGTTCTTATATTCTTTTACTAGCCTGAACATCTGTGGTTTGGCTTCCAACACCTCCTGGATTTCCTGGCATATAATACAAGCCCTATCAGTAAAGCCTCTAACCATTTGTTTCTCCAAGCAGCTGCCACTAGATCTTATGGGAGGCTGATCTGACAAGGACCAAGAGAACTGCTACACACAATGGCAGCCTCAGTTCAAGGTTCCTGAGCTCTCTACCATGGCCCGGGTCTTGCACAAAGCTTGTAGTGATTAAGGCACTCCTTTTTCCAGTTCAAGTATCTGGAAAACTTCAGTAGCAAGAATATCTGCTTCTTTATGATGTCCTGACTTTGTAGATGCTTGAACCCAAGTCTTCCAGGCATGCATCTGCCAAGACACACATGCACACGAGACAGTCCAACTAATCCAACTCAAGCATTTCTGGTTATCAACTAAACATCCTTCTCTCCATGGCACATTCACTAAATCATCTTTAGATGCTCATCCTTTTGCTGCTCAGTCTTTGTAAATCTTCCATTGGATGCATTTGGGTCATTTTTGTCATAATTTTACACAGGTAAAAAATGAATAGTTTTACCTTTAATGGGATTTTCCTCCTGCACTTTCAATATAATAATAAAATATGTACAACATTTATAAATATCTTCCATTTAAAGACGTAAAAAAAACCTCACCCTTACAATTTCACTACCCTTGTTCTGAACTTAAGGATGTATCCAGGATGTGGCTCCTTACAATAAGTACCTTGCAGGCCAACCAACAGAATTCTGCTGCAAAGCACAGATGTTCCTTCCCCTTCTCACTTGAACAGCTTACATATTTAAAACTGGATTTCTTCTTATAAGCTATTTTAAGCAGTCAGACAGACTGCAAGTTCTGTCAGGCAGGCTAAACACACACAGACACATAACAGCATCTCAGAGAAAAGTTAACTTTTAAACCATCCTCTTACTTTGTTGTTCTGCACTCAAAAAGCTTACCTGTGCACTGCTACTGGGGTAGTCCAGACTTCCAGAATATCCCGGGTGGTGGATGCTACTAGGTTGTGTTTTGTTCTGGAGTCGGTCCAGGAAAGCATTATTTACCCTTAAAAACAAACAAACAAACAAACAAACGCAAACCAACAAAAAAAAATTATTGAAGGCAGCTGAGAAGTTCACAAACTTATGAATTTTAACATTCCGTGAGTGGCTTTCCCTATTCTCAGTTCAATATTTGTCTTATGTTTTTCAAGCCTGTGCAGAATAACCATGGAATGGCATGAGATAGGGTGGATTTCAACTCACTGGGTGCATCCTTCTCCTGTGATCCATGTCTTGTGATTAAAAGGCTTCCCTTGGCTGCTGGACCAAAATTGCCCACAGAAAGATGACCTGCATACCACTACCCACCTTATCGGGGAGGTGAGCTATTTCAACAATGCACCTTAGGTAGTCTTGCATAGAATTATAGCCTGGTTTGGGTTGGAAGGGATTTTAAAGATCACCTAGCTCCACCCCTGCTGCATGGCCAGGGACACCTCCCACTACCTGGGTTTCTCTAAGCCCCATCCAACCCAGCCTTCAACACTTCCAGTCTTCAGCGCACAAGAAGAGGTTCTAGAAGAACTGATTCCCTAATGGCTGTGGAAAACACCCACTTAAGCTTGCTGCTAATAGAAATAATTTGTGTAGCTGACATAATTCCCTGCTATCCAGTTCTGAAATAAACTCTAGCATTTTCTTGTACCACTTTATCAATCTGGAAAGCATGCACACTTAGAAATACACTTTTCCTCAGTGTTTTAAATATTTTCAAACCTTCTGAAAACTGTTTCTTTTTTTTCCCCTTGTTAATGCTTAGGAGTGACACACGTGCTTAGACATGATTTGTTTTAGTGCTTTACAATGCTATTTGTAAGAATGATGTAAAAAGCAAGATACTGCATTATTTCTATCTAGGGACATGAGATGGATTGAATAAAAAAACCCTTCATTAACTTCTATGGGTAATTATCTCAATCTCTTTGCTAAAGAAAAAAAAAGAAATAAAGACAGTATGAAGAGTGGCTGCCTACAGACCTAAATTTTTTTAAGTATGTTTCCCTAATGATATAAAAAAAGAAACAAATGGTGTTTTTCTTTTTGAGCCTGAGCTCTGTTTCTTTTTACCAGCAGAAAACAAAGCTGAGAATAAAGCTGTACTTCAAGATAATGGAAAGCCAGTTAAGTGACAGAAGTGCAAGATGAGAACTGCTGAGCACAGAGAGCAGAGCAGCAGGGCACAGCCTGGGGCATGCAGCAGTGCAGCTGCAGAAGGCTTTGCTGGCTGCACTGCAGCTTCTACCTGTATCCCTATCAAATCCCACACTTATCTCTGCCTCTGAACCACAGTGACAACCACAAAATATCCATTCTAAAATAAAATAAAAAGAAATAAATTGATACATAAGCAGACAGATAAAATGTTTCCCAGCTGAAACTACAGTAGTATTAGTTACTTATGGTTTGGCTTGGAAGCAGCCTCAAAGATCATCTACTTCCAAACCCTTTGTCATGGGCAGGGACACCTCCCACTAGACCAGGTTGCTCCAAGCTCCATGCAACCTGTCTTTGAACACTTCCAGGGGGGAGGCATTTACAGCTTCTCTGGGCAACCTGTTCCAGTGTGTCAGCACCTTCATAATGAAGAATTTTTTTCCTAATCTAAATCTTCCCTCTTCCAGTCTGAAACCATTTCCCTTTATTCTATTGCTACATTGATTTTAGCAGTTCATTTGAAGGCCACGTTAAGCCAGAGGAGAAGTCAAGGATATTCATTGCAATCATCTTCTAAAGCATGAATGCCTGCAATTTTGAGATCATGTCCAGATAGGGATTCAATTAAAGAGTATTCTGCATTTTTGCATCATACCTCCTCTGTTCATTTCGAAGTGCTCTTGTCCTGGCTTCTTCTTTCTGCTTTTGTTGAAATTCCATTAATTCAGCCTAGGAATGATGAAAGAAAAAAATAAATAAATCAATAAACTTACTTTTATTTCACATACCTATGTTGCAAACATAATTAACTCCACATGGTGTTAACTTCAGCTAGAGCCACGTGTCATTCTCAGAACTTCTCTCACCAGCATTTTATTCATGTGGCAGCACTGAGCTAATATTTCTGTTCAGCATTGCTCTGGATGATCATTGTTTGTGCCCTAAAAGTGGGAAGTTACCAGAATCAGACTTTTACAGTCCTGCATTTAAAGGGGTATGCCAGACAACAGTCTGCTTCCTCTTGCCTCAACCTATGGGTCTGAATTTTCCTGCAGGTCCAAGGGGGAAGACAATCTAAATCACAGCCATTATATCTGCATGGTATGAAGGATTCATGTTCTTTGCCTCCGGCCTCCATGGAGTATGAGAAGACAAGAATGGGGGTATGAGGGACAGGGTTTCAACTCCATGTTTCATGGCTCTCCGAGAGTGAGGGAAGGGCGAATGGTACCTGTTGGTGTGGTCCAAGTGTGTGCAAGCTGCCAGTGCTGCAGCAGGGTACCACCCTTACGCTACATAATATTAAGGTATATAAACACTGTCAAAGGGAATTCTTTCCAGAGGAGTGCTTGCTTATGCAAATTTAGCCAGAACTGCAATGGAAACTCAGCTTGTGTGACTCTGCTCTGCATGTGCATTTGTTTGTCTGTCTCTTGTTCCCTGCAATGCACCCAAGAATTGAAGATGCAGATTTTTATGCAAAGAGAATTTTGGCTTGCAGGGTGAGGGGAAGGGAGAGGAACAGACCCATCCTTCATATTTTCCATAGCAACTGAGTAGCAGTAGGAATAGAAAGTAAAAGAAAATTATGCAGGTAGACAAAAGCTTCAATAACTGAAAGAAACTACAAGTTAAAAAAAAAAAAATCAATGTAAGTGGAACATTAAATAAAAACTATGCAATAAATGTATGAAGAAAATCAATAATGGTGAATGTGTTGTGTATCAATATTTGTCTAGCCCTAAAAGAAGAAACAGGATTAAGAAATAAAAAAGCCAACCTTAATTTTCCCTGTTTTAAATAACTATTCAACCTGAAAATTAAAACCCAGTATCTGACTTTCCAATATGCTGAGTCCTCTCTTGGAGTAATGTTCTGAAATATATTCTGTGTATATGATGCCGTGTTCAAAGTGTACTGGAAATTTCTAAATCAAGAAATACATACTAAAACCTGTTTTGAAAAAAATAAAAAGAAATGACAATGCCTACACATTTTATAGCTACACTCTGCTAGGAGGTACACAGAAGACAGAATTCACAATTACTTTAATAAATATTAGTTTGAAGTAGAAACGAGTCACCATATATCTGAGGGACAATTATTGGAGCCTTTAAAATCAGTAATATTCACAGTAGGATTTCAAGTAGTGCATTAGCCTGTGTAATAGATAGCAGAAGCCTTGAAGGCAAGGAGGGCTTGGGACACTGTACCAAGTAAGAGCAGCCAGGGAAGCAGCCGGTACCTTCCTCTTTCTGTGGAAATTGGTAAAGAGTCCAAAGCTCCACGTGAGTCCCTTAAACCAAACTCATAAAGTGGGGCAAGTTAATTCACACCTGTAGTTATTTTATTTATGGAGGAATAAATGTAAAGAATACACCAGCTATCAGTTGTATACCCATCAGGGCTGGCTTTTCAAGATTTTCCCTCTGTAGAGTTGCTGGGAATAAGCATATAATGGGAAAGCAATTAAGAGACTCCTTTTCCTCCATCCTAGGCTGATGCATCATGGTTGCAACAATACTATAAAATGAGGACCCTTATCCCCCACATTTTAAAAATAAAAGAGATCCTTGTGAGGGGCTGAGTCACCTGCCCAGCCCTAGTAGAAATTCACTGCATTAAACTTGTTGCACCAAGATTCTGCTGCTGGGGAAGTAGTTTATAATTAATTTGGATGTTAATAACTGCAGAGACATAGCAAGAGGCTCAGTATTTGCTAATACATTTTAAAATAATTTGCAGTCAATGCTGCCCTCCTCATACTTGCAGAGTCAGACCTGGAGCCAAGACAGGCAACATAGCACAGTGCTGTTGCCTTCTGTAATGAACTTTGTGTGGATATGATAGCCAGATCCATGCCAGAAGAGCTACAGTGGTTCAAATGCATTTCAGAAGACAGAGTTCAAACTTGCTTTTATGACATTGCCTTTTTTTTTTTTTGACAATTCAAATCTTTTCAATTATGTGGTTAGCAAAGTAACAGAGAAGCACACAGACTCAACAGACTCAAAGGCAAATCTGATGCTTTCCCACCCCATTTGGGGAGGCAGGGCACATGGGCCTCAACTCCCTAGAAAGAGACTTTTCAGAGTCTGAGATGGTCATGAATATCTCAGTAAGATTACTTCTACCTGAAAGAAAGGAAATTGGTTTCCTTAGACTGCTAAATAATCTACCATGGTCAAAAAATGCCCTGCACAATTGTTAAATGGACAGACAAGTGGGAGCTAGTCATCCAGATGTCAATAGCCTTGAACTCAGAAGATACCTGTTCTGTCCCTATCTAAAATGTACAGGTTGGGTCTCTCACAATATTTAAAAACAGTGACTAAATAACATTTGCTAAAAAGAAGTTCTGTGTGTAGACTACAAGTAATCAATGTATCTAACTGGTTTCACAGCATGCAAAAATGATACAATATGCAAACTCTTAATGTATAATTACCTTCCTCCGTTGTTCTTGCTTCATTTCCTCTAATCTTCTGTTTTCATCCTCTCGAAGAGCTTGCTTGTAAGCATGGCCCCTAGCCTATTGTTCAGCAGAGAATATAAACATATTGGTGTGAGAAGAGAGGGGACGAAAATCCCAAACCTTATTCCCAAATCTTTATATGGGTAATTAACAAAACAGAAATGGTTGAATGGTTCCTGTTACTTAAAAAACAGATTAGTCTCAAGACTAGAATTTAAACAAGAAGTGGTCTAAAGCCTCTCAGTCATTTGATTTGGCTGAAAGTCTCTCTGCACATCACAACTAGGCAGACACAGCCCAGGCTTTTCCTTGTCCATGTGGCAAGCATAAAGATACCCTGAGCAGCCAGAAAAAAACTAATCAGGATAGATGGTGGTGAGAGGGAGATGTTATAGGAAGAAAGAAAATAATATTGAGATAATATTGATAATATTACCTAGACAACAAAGCAGAAGGAAGGTGTGGTAACAGAGTTGAGCTCAGGATTATTTCCATAGGAGTATTAGAAAGGCATTTGTGGAGTTTAGGCAACAGAAGCTGAGATACCAAGTCTGCTATTTTGCTTGTGGAGCATTCAAGACAACTGAAAATCTGAACTACTCATCATGAATAAAGTATTCAACCGTGCAGGTTTTCATTACAGTAAGTAGTCCTAGTCTTTCACAAGTTGGATTTCTTAGCAAGAGCAAGCCTAGCATTAGGATCTTACAGCATCCTTAGGATCTCATACATAGGAACTTCTACTGTAAAGTCTTTCAGCAGGGACTGAGCATGGCACACTAAATAATGAGCCAGTATAATTTAATACAAGCAGTGTGCAGGCTTGACTTTAGTGAGGAATTTGTTGCAGGCCTATATGATGTTCTCAAAGCTTGATATATGTGTGCAGAATGATGCCATTAAAGTGAGAGGCACATAACTCGCTAAAAAGACCAAATAGAGAAAGCAATTATTAATAGTTCAATTTTGAGCTGGGAGGAGTTCCTAGATGTGCCCAGGGAGACTCATTCTGGGTCTAATATTATTCATTACTCTCCATAATGGCTTGGAGAATTGTGTGGAGTGTATGTTAATCAAGTTGGAAGACAATAAAAATCTACACAGGATTGGTAACACTTTGAAAGACAGGATTTAAATTAATTATGAGCTTGATTAAATAAGCAGGCCAAAAAAGTCACCAATGACAGTCATTCCAAAGAAGTCAAATTTGTTAATGCACATCAAGTAATATTTGACACTGATATTTGAACTAGGTGTGCTAAATTAATATTACTGTCAAATAAATTATGTGAGGAAAAAAAATATTGATGAATATTACACGGTCCCATTTTTTTTTTAGAATATGAATTTTTATTTTTAAAAAATCACATATATATATCCTCTTCCCTTTTAACATGGATATCAAGCACTTCCTAAGCTTCTAACACTACACTATTTCTAATTCATTACTCCTCAATCTTTTGATTACTCAAGACAGAGAACAGGTCCAAGATAATATCAAAATAGAGTTCAAGTTTTCCCACTGTTTTAGCATATTGATACTACACCAAGTTTATTTAGATAGCAACTCCTTTGTTATGTCCTTCAGATCGCTCACACAGAGCAGAGAGGCTGTGCACATGCCTATGGGCCATACCTCATCCAAGTTGGTTGGGAAGGGAATTTGCTAACTTCATTGCTGCATTATAAGCAGGCAATGAGTTGATTCACCAAGCTATAGAAAAGCTGCCATGCAAAAGACATGCATAATATCAGCTGATGTTAATAAGGAACAGCACAGATAAATTAGGTATTTTATCTGCTTGAATAGTAGTGAAGGCAAAGATGAACTATGGTATGTAATTTGGCAAAACTTATTAAGAAATCCCTCAAAAACTGGACCGAGAAAAGCAACCAGGTGGGTGAAATAGAAGGCAAAAGCTAAAATTAGGAACAGTACACTTGAAAGAATTCACTGTTTCTTCAGGCATTCACTCACACCTGTATAGGTATTAAGAAACCACAACAAAATGCTGATATTCAAGTCAACTCTGGGGACACAAGATCACTTGTCTTTGAAGTTCAATGTTCACACAATATGAAAAGCTGCAGAGCTTCCTAACAAGGGACAAGCCCCCCTCTGTCTGGAGCATCGGATACTTCAAGAGGGAGATAGATGTAGTTTCAAGACATCTTGTCACCCTTCCTACAGTCTTTCATCTTGCTTGTGTACTCAAGACTACAAACGACAGTCTGAAAGCCACTCTCCTACAATTGACCTTTTGCAAAACAATGATGGGAAGAAGTTGGTTAAGATTATTTTAGAGCTTCCAGAGACACAGAATGACCTGAGGAATGAAAGGGGAAAGGAATCTATTTTAAGCACCACCTTCCCTTTCGTGCAAAGAAAATCAAGAAGATATATTAAAGGCATGAAAGAGCTGCTATCTATTTTACTTACAGCAATTTCTATAATGGGAGGGTTTTGCAGTTTTCCAATGCTTCCAAGAAAATATGGAGGCAAATCTTTCCCTCCGTTTACTCAGCTCTTGCTGTGTAACTTTGTATACAGGAGAGGGCTGCCCAGATTGAGAACTTCCAAGTTTCTAAGTACTGTTTCTTGTAATGACAATTTCTGTCCACATGGCTGCCTTCTCTCTGTCTTCCCCAAACTATAAACCTCCTTAAAGAAGAAATACTTTTGTCTCAAGGTTAATATTCCTTGCTGCAAGTTTTTACATAAGTAGGAAAGCTGGGTTTGGACATGAAGAGACCAATCACATGTGAGAAAGGCTTTTTGAGGCAATTAGAATAATGAAAGTGAAGCAATACTTTATCTATTTCCTAATTACATTGATACTTACCAGGCTCATCCCAAGCAGCCTGTGGAATCACTTCTAGGATGCAGTGAGAAATAAGCTTCCCTTTCAACTAGATTTTCCATGCAGTAAAGCATTCACTGACATGAACTAGTTGAGATTTCAAATAAGTTTGCCACCAATGGTTGGGACAGAGCACATTTAAGATTCTGGTCTAACCTTAGAATATAAATCTGTCTCTCATTTATTAGAGCAAGATCTGTGAGTAATAAAGTCAGTCCACTATGTAGGACACTCTGCCAGTGTGTAAGAGTCAATGCAGGCAATCTCATTCACCCGGAAAGACTCCTTCGTCCTCATGAAGTTATGTCTAGGCAATTAAGCTCAATTAGGATATTCTAATATCACACTATTGACAGCACCTGGAAAACTGACAAAAAATATGACAAATTGTGTGCTTACCCATGCTGTAGATTCTGGGCCATGATTAGCAATCTGACAGGAATCACTTGTTGGCAAACCTGACTCCAATCTGTTCAATAATTCATTGGTTTTGCTATGAAGAAATCCAATCCAAATAGAATTGTTAGTACTTCCATAAAAATAATTATAGCTTTTTATTCCACCCATGGAATCTAGCCTAGACATTGTACCATGTAACTGCTGAAAAACATCACAGGTGGAACAATAGGTTATGGAGACAGAATGGCACAGAGGATAGAGAACCTATATTTTGGATAACACATCCCCTAGGAAGATTTCTTAAGCAAAAAGCTATTGTCATTTGTATATATAGGGCCTGCAGTGTCTATGCTTTCTTTTGTCATTGTAAAGCTTCTAAAACATAGACTCTCATACATCAAACTGCTTTGCTGAATTGTCGCAAATCCTTCTACCAGATCCCTAAATCTCAGATAAGCAATCTAAATTATTATTTCAAGGAATTTCCCTTAATGTTTAGCGCTATGCAGCCTTACAACAGATTAATTAATCAAGCAGCAAGACTTTGAAGCCTTTTGTAGCATTGTAAAAAACAAGTTTGTCTTTAGTTGAGGCAAAATTGCACAGTGTTGTGCAATTCCCCTTAAGGGAAGAGGGCTGTTCAGAAGTACTGGTTAATATGGAGCAATCTTAGGAGTGTATTTTGTCTTTCCCAGTAGCCCTGTTTTCCATTACACTGTTGGGAACAAGCCTTTTGCTCTGCTAATTAAAATAGGCTACTCCCATACCAGTATATTTATTAGGACCAGACAAAACTCTTAGCATGGGAACTCAGCCATCCATATTGTGGCACAGTTTTGACCTTTACCAAATAGTACTTTCCCAAATAACTCCTCACTGCTGTCCAGGAATGAACATCATAGAATCATAAAATATCATATCAAGATTTGGGCTGGAAAGGACCTTAGCAATCAGCTAGTTCCAACCCCCCTGCACGGGCTGGGACACCTCCCACTAGATCAAATTGCTCCAAGCCTTATCCAACCTGGCCTTGAACACTTCCAGGGATGGGACATCCACAACCTCCATGGGCAACTTGTGCCAGTGTCTCACCACCCTCACAGAAAGAATTTGTTCCTAATGTCTCACATAAATGTACCCTCTTCCAGCTTGAAACCATTCCCCTCATTCTGTCACTGTGTGCCATTGTAAAAAGTCCTTCCCCAGCTTTCCTGTTGCCCCTTCAGGTACTGGAAGGCTACTGTAAGGTCTCCCTGGAGCCTTCTCTTCTCCAGACTGAACAACGTTATAGGAGAGGTACTCCAGCCCTCTGATCATCTTTGTGGCCTTCCTCTGGATTCGATCCAATGGCTATTACTTGAAAGCATATACTTGAAGCTGGCTCAACATGGACACGTAAAATGCAGGAACATGAATCTGTTAGGTGTTCCACTGAGAACAGTGCAATTCAGGGATTTGGAGTTAGCACCCTGCACTCACAAGCTGCTTTTGGATCAGAGAATCTGCACACATTTCATATTGTTTGGGACTAAATGCATGTGCATTGGGGTGAAACAAGGCAGTGGATATAAAATCCAGAGTGAGCCTAATTTCCTCTGGGCTAAACAGGAGCTCCTGTGCTCTAACAGGGTCACCAGTCTTGACAGTCAAAAAGCAGAAATCTCTACAGCTGACTCCAGCAGGCAACTATGAAGGATTTGGAGACCCACAATGATCAGGATTTGATGTCTAAGATTCTATGAAGAGTAAGAGCTTTAATTTCATGTGGCACTTGGTCTTAACTCCTGTTACATCTACAAGGCGAACAGAAGAAGCAGTCCTGGAAAGGATTAATCCTTAGGAGTATGAATAAGGTTATGGACTGAAGCACCAGCATCTTCCTCCACCCATGAGTCATACAGCACTGCTCACTAAGCTTTTCATTTGAGACTGAATTCCTCTCAGAACAAAGAAGTAAAGAAAATAATTTTTCTGCCTATACTTACAATGCTTGGCTTTAAGTCTGTTTTACAGACTAAAGTTAAAATGCATCAATTAAAACAGCTTCTTGTAACCTTCATTATTGCTTCCCAATGAAAACAGTGGCAGTTAATTATTTTGTTTTAATTGGTGTATTTTGAAATGTCAGGATATAGGAAAACATACTGGCTTTTATGCCAGTGCTTTTGGGAAAGAAAAAAAAAAAAAAAAAGCACAATCCTTCTGCATAAACCATACATCTATATATTTCTCTTGACAATTTTTAAAAGATAATGGCTGCTCTTATTACCACTGAAAACAAGACAGCTTCTGAACTCCTTGTTTTCTCAAGCTGTGGGATCTCCAGCATTACAATTCTGTTTTAATGAACATCCACAAGTATGCCAAGAGCTATTCAAAAACAGTAATAAAAAAATAAAGAATCTCAAGACAGGTAAATCATTATAACCATTTCAGAGACAAAACAGAATAATTATTCAGTAAGACAACAAACATAGCATCTAGTGCTGAATGACATAGACACATCAGCTTCCAAAAGCATTGCCAGTAAGCAATGCTGAGGTGATATTTCACCGTTTTCTTTCAATCCAGCTGAAAAAGTAATGGTGCATAGGCAACTCTGTCCCTCCATGCTCGTGAGACCGCATCTGGAGTATTGCATCCAGCTTTGGAGTCCTCAGCAGAGGAAAGACATGGACCTGTTGGAGTGGTTTCAGAGGAGGGCCAGAAAAATGATGAGAGGGTTGAAACACTTCTCCCAAGAGGAGAGGCTGAGAGAGCTAGAGGTGTTCCGTCTGGAAAGAGAAGGCATCAAGACCTTATACCAGCCTTTCAATACTTCATTACTTAAAGGGGGGGTCTAATAAAGATGGGGACAGACTTTTTAGCAGGGCCTGCTATGACTGGACAGGGGTAGTTAATGGTTTTAAACTTAAAGAGTGTAGATTTAGACTAGGTATGAGGAAGAAATCTTTACAATGAGGGTGGTGAAGCACTGGAACACGTTGCCCAGAGATACAGTACATGCTCCATGCCTGAAAACATTTTAGATCAGGCTGGATGGGGCTTTGAGAAATGAGATCCTGTTGAAGATGTCCCTGCTCATTGTAGGGAGGTTGAACCAGATGACCTTTAAAAGTCCGTTCCAACCCAAACTACTCTATGATTCTGTGATAATGCATACACAGTCCTAGTTTCACACATCTGCCCAGATGTTTCACAATGGTTTTTAAAGAACAGCAGGACTCCCCTTCTCAAAAACAAAACCAAAACCCCAAACTGAATTTCATTAAAGACTCATCTTTTTGCAGCACCAGTAGGCATATCTACACTCCTCCCCACTTCAATATATTTAATTGGCTAAGTGTAACAACTTCCTCACCTTTTACAGAAATTAAGATCAACTGGTTAGCACTATCAAAGCCTACCCACAGGAAAAGCTGCCCTTCATTTCAGAAAGGTCCATGGTGCATGTCTTTTTGCTAATGCCCTTGATTCTTCGAAGGTGAGTGGTCTGCCTTGTGCATTTGCCATACTCATCCTGGTCAGGCACTTGTTATGACCCACAACCCAAGCTGGCTCTACTAGGGCTGCTGTTGCTCCTCTGTCACGTGGCCTGACAACTTAAAATGTTAAAATAGAAGAAATTCCAGAAGTTGACTCTAAGGTATATGAGATTGCTGTCCATTTATGCAGGTTTCCCATAGATTCTGTATCGGGAGATGGAGAAAGAGACTCCAAATTAAGGTGTAGTTGGGATTCGTACAAATCACAACCATCTTCTAAACTGTGAATGACATGGGGAACTGATAATATGGTTTGTGAAAATAATCCCACCAAAAGGCATATCTTTTAAAATTAAGCCATTAAGAATGTTGCAAGTAGCCTGAATGGAGGAGCCAATGGCTTTTGCTGGGTATGCAATTATCCATGCATCCTCTCACATCCACTCCTTTTTGCAAAGATTTATCACAGCCACAAAAATTTTACAAAGTTTAAGTAAATTCAGAAGGCTGCAAGCAGCTGGCTTATTTACCACAGCTGGGCCACAAAAACAGGCAAGGTAGTAAAAACACCTCTGTCTATCAGCAACAGACATACCCTCAGTTCTGCACACATTCTGGTTCTTTTCCTGTACCTCAATCTAACCCATAACTGCAGGACAGAGTCCACTTTAGGGTAAGAAGAAAAAAACAGATGTCAGTCATGTGCAAAGTTATCAGCATGAATGAATATGCATTTTTGGGGGTGTGTGTGGGTGGGGAATTAATCTTTTGATGGAAGATGAAAGGTGAAAAATTACAATGGGAAACAATTAACCCATAAAATTTCTGTGTGGTGTTGATGGCTCTTCCTTCCCTAATGCTCTCTGCTGGGAAGAAAGGCCCATCCTCTGGGTATTAGTTTGGTTGCTTTCCAGCATAACTCCTTCCAGTGGCCACATACCAAGCTTAATGCAGTATTCACAGACTTCACTGGGAGTAAAGCACAAGCATACTAAGGAGGACTCAGAGAAATCCAGTGATAGTGATCAAAACAGTGGTATCTGGCTGGCAGGCATTCTTGTCTGCAAGTTCTTGAGCATGTGTTCCTGTTCTTGGGGATAAGAACAAAAAATGTGGTACTACTTCATTTTAGGTATGAGGCTCCAAGACAGTATAAAAATTGGTTCTTTTTTTGGGTTGGGGTTGTTCTTTATTTTTAAAAAAGGCAACTTTCTCAGCAGAATTGTTTTCATCACTACCCACTCACCCCCAAAACTAATCTTTCCTGTCAACTCACTTGCTTTTTTTTGTTTTTCTGACTGGATGAAATAATACAGCTAGGCTATACTTTCCTCCCACTAACCCATCCAATATCCTTGGAAGTTATTTTAGACATCAAGTTTCATTTATTATCTGCAGTAATAAGCATAAATCCAGTTTTCAGGAAAATGCAGTTTTATATAAGTCTATTGCATAGATCTTCCATTCTGTGTGCTCCATCTGCATGTGCAATCTGCTTCTGTATTTTCAGCCAGCTTGCATGGGCAGATTAATGCTCACAATTAGAAAGCAACCTTACAGGCATTCAATAAACTGCCTTCATTATTACACTCAAGAGAGTCCCTTTGGATGTCTATAAAAGCCTAGTTTTCTGCCTGTTAGCTAAATAATTGACAACGCTTAAAATAATCAGGAGCAAATGAACAAAACGAAGACCATTGTGCTGAAAGGAAGCCAACAAAAGAGTCTCAAGGCTGCAAAAGCCTTTTGTGTGATCCCTCTTTCATTCTCTCTAACAGCTTGTATTAAAAGTCTGGTCAGATTTACATGTGCACTTCTGTGAGGAAAATTTGCTACCAGCCTGCTGTTTGAACCACACATCACAGGGGACTGAAAACTGGCAAGGACACCAGGATTTATCCTGTAAAAAACAGATAAATAAATAAATAAAATCTGGTTTGATTCAAGTTTTATTTTCTTGCATTTTATGACTTTTGAGGAAACTGCTTTGGCAGGCAAGCGTACATCAGCTTGGTTTGTTGAACCTCCTGCATTATGTTTGGAATATGCACTTAAAGGCACTCTGGCAAATTCTGCTCCAAATTCTGAGCAGAACATATGGAGTGCATGCATGTACTTGAGTGCAGCAGTGCCAGGAATTTTTACAGGAGTACAACCTTCACAAAAACAGAGGCATGAATATGTAACAAAGGGAAAGATGAAGTGATACAACAGCAATGATGTACTAGTAAAAAGAAACTCCATGTGCTAGACTGCTTTTCCCATTATATAAATAGGTAGATAGCTATTAGAAACACAGTGAATCACATCTGATGCTACAGTTACTGGGAAGCTGAATCCAAATTAAATAAAAGCACCTTACAAGGGCATGGGACTAAAACCTTATGGTGAGACATGATACAGTTCAGGCAGAGATTCATACAGCCTGCACAGCAAGCCTCGGAGAAAAGCAAGTCATGAAGTGGCCAGCCCTCATTACAATTTAAAGACATTTTTTCTGTCATAAATAAACAGAGTTGTCCCGAAAAGTCCTGAGCCAGTCGTCTAATACCTTCCTAATTCCTATTTGGAAAGATGGACTCTTGGTTCTTTCCTCACAAGGATTAACAATTAGAAAATCTGGACTACTCAAGCTTTCATTATCATTTTAGGTGCCTCTGACAGAAAAAGAATCCCCACCTCAGGCCAATGCATCCAAAGCACCATTACTCAGAAGGAAGGACTCCATATGTAAGTAGTTTTTGGTAGAAAAGTGCACACATACTCTTTATTTTTTAGATATGGTATCTGAAGAGGCAGAATCACCACAGTTCTATTGCCAATAAATTCCTCAAGTGTTTGTCCTGTTAGTACAAACCATAGCAATGCTGCTGTATCCTCCAGACAGTGGACAAGGCTGCAGACGATTTTTCCTTTTGGCATTTGCTTATTTTGTGTTACACCCCTTGAAAGGGGATTTCATTGAGAAGTTCCCATTTTTAACAGTGACAGAAATTTAATCAGAACCACAAACTTCTGCGCACACTTTATTGTCAGAGTATGTTAAAGACATGAGAATCTTCAGTGCCTTTCCATATCAAATAGGAGCTGCACTTCTTAGAAGAGAGGTACTGATTGGGCTGTATGCTGTGGAGGCAGATACAGATAGAAGTGGTGATCAATTTTAAAAGGTTTCCCAGCTAATGAGACTGCTGGTGGGCATTGATCTCAGGAAAACTGTGATGCTGCAGCTACTGGTGCTCACAGAAGAGAGAATAACAAGGCAGCTTATCTTTTGAAATGGCTCCACAGGCCATGACTTTGCAGAGGTCACTGCTTTAAATGCAGTGCATGACCTTCTTTCCCCCCTCTCTCAGCAAGCAGAGAAGAAGATCAAAATACTCCAGCAGAGATAGCAAGGAAAGGGCACAACCTCATACTCTTCGCCTCTAGACATAGGCTCTTAGTTGATAGAAGCAATAAGTGACTCATATTTTGTGTCATATGCAAAAGTGCAGCTTTAAATACCAAACACTTTTCTGCTAACATGACCCTAATAACCAGCAGCACTTCAATGAAGTCACTTTACAAGATATATCACATGTATCTTCCCATTACTACTTGGTGTGGTGCTCCATAGTGCCAATGTATCTTAGCAAAATGACCTCAACACCATCCAGTGGTAAATCCATTAGTGCCCTAGACTCCTTTTCCTCTGCCCATCAGAGGATTCCTTCAGAACAGGCAAGGCCCTAATGTCAGTCTCTACAGTATGGAAGGTTTTTGGTTAACCAAAATTGCATTCACTGTAGGTAGGTTTTCAGCTCACTTCCTCCAGGTGCAGCATCACAGAACACACAAATAATCTTTTGGCAGTTGAATATAAGCTTGAGCAATGGAGCTCAACAGTCCATCTTTACCTTCAGTTGCATCAGCCAGTTTAGTTTTCTAAGATGACACCAGCTGAATGCTCCCAAGGTTCTCCTAAATCAGTGGACAGGATATCCACTAGTCAGTCTCCTTCCCAGGGCTCAGGTAGTCTGAGTTCCTGCAACACCTGGGGACCAACTAACTACTCCCATTAAGGTGTTTCAGGGAGTCTGCTTGACAGGACTAAGCTTACTTTTAATGGAGCAGGCAAAATACCAATATCTAAATGTTGGCAACATATTTAAGGAAAGAGCTGTACCTAATGCCGAATGTGAAGTAATAAAAGGAAGAAGACAAGAAAGGCTGAGATCAGTAAGAAAGCACTAAAATGTCTATACATTAGGGAGCAGAGACTGGGCAAATGATGAAGGAACTGGAGTTACTAGAATGGGACAAAAGTGACTCCTTTAAAGGTCATAGAGGAAGAAAGAGCAATCAATCTTGCTGAGAACACAGGTGAGTAATTTCAAGAGCCAAAGATAAAAAAGGTAAAGGTGACTAAACAGCATTGTGTGTTAATTATGTGATAGAACTGGTTTGGATCAGTTAAAAAGAAATTAATAGGGCAGTGTTAGCTGGCAAGGCAGGAACTTCACTGCCAATTGAATGAATTATGTCAGGATTTAAGCCATATCTAAATCTAACATTAAAAAAGCAGTCTTGGGAAACAGGTCTTCACAGCAGATCTCTACATTTAAGCTGCAATGCTAAATACAGAAAGTCCTCATTATTTCCATGTAGGTTAGATTTTTTTGCTAGTCACTAAAATAAATGAGTGGAGATGTAATTCAGATCTGATTTCTATAATTAGTCTTGGATTGAATGATCACATACTGGTTCAGTTAGAGAAAGAAATCACAAAGTCATCCTATCATTCACAGTTTTCATTTCAAAGTGCATGTTTTGAGAAGCTAAGAGACATCTACTGAACCAAATTGCTCACAGAGTAAGGTATGGAGGAGGCTTGGAATTTCACAGAATCACAGAGTGGCTGAGGTTGGATGGAACTGCTGGAGGTCATCTGGTCCAACCCTACTGCTCAAGAAGGACCTTCTAGAGCCAATTGTTCATGACCTGATTGGCTCTTGAATATCTGCACAGACTCCGCAACCTCCCTGGGCAACTTGTGCCAGTGCTCAGTCGCCATCACAGAAAAAAGTGTTTCCTGATGTTCGGAGGGAACCTCCTGTGTTCACTTGTCAAAAAGTGAAAAAACCAACAGCAGAAGGAAAACGTTTCCTGAGCCCCAAAAGAGACAAAATCAATGACCAACCAACAAAAATAATCCCCCAAAACCAAAACAGAGGCAGATGAGGAATTTTAAGTAATAAGTTTCAAACTTTACTTACTAATTTTGATCCTCAAAGAACATCTCTCTTCTTTGCATTTCTTGTTGCCTTTTTTTAACTTCAAGTCTCTCTGCCTACAGCATTAAAAACAGGAAAACATACTTGAGATTTCCAGCAAGCCAGAAACAATACTGATTACTTCATCTCAAGTACTTCAATATTTTGTATTTCAAAATAAGTATAGTAACAGTTGGGTACAGAAGTGACCCAATCCCAAATTCAAGTGTTCAGACATGACCAAATAGCTCCTCATAAACTCGTAAAGAGACCAGTCTAAAATAGAAAACCACCCTGTGCTCCTGGCAGACCCACCTAGGCTCACAAAAAGGCCCTCGTGAGCCATCACAGTTCTCATGCCACAGAACTGCTGGGGCATCTTTCAGTGTAACTGGTGGAACGTTAGTTCTAGTAAGAAGGTAGAGGATGTGAACCATGGCACCAAAGCAAATTACAGTTTTGTAGCATTGAAAGCACAGTGATAGGAGTACATGTAGCTCTGCATGTAAACCTGTGGCCTTCAGGAGCATTAGGTACTGGTCAGCTGAATATACGCTAAGACAGATGAAGGTGTGAGACATTTATACTTCACCAGAACTACTCTGTCTCAGATACCATGTCCTGTGAAGGAGTCAACCAAAGCCTGGGCACACAAAATTCCTCCGGAAATCTGGATACCACAGAGGTGATAAAGTCCCTTAATATAAAATTTCCCATAATTTCCAGTGGAAGGGTCATCTAAGCTACCCCACTCCCCAGACTGAAGTAGAATAAAATGTCAAAATGAAGCAGAAACTAGAGAACTTGCTGTAGCAGCAATACATAGGTCAAACAAAATTCCAATAAAAAGGAGGGCAGACAAATTTTTTTGATGCACAAGCTGTAGGTAGGTCCAGTGGAAGGAACAGTCAGTTCAGTGTATTAAAAGCACAAATCAGACTTGTCAAACTGGGATTTCAGCCCTATTATATTTTGGGCACAGGCTCTAACACTGCAACTGGGGGAGGGGGATGCTCCAACAAGAGCTCCCACCCAAGGTTGACAACCACAAGTGTGTTGAGCAAACTGCAAACTTGGACTGTTGCTCCACTCATAGCTCAACCTCAAAAAGAAAAAAAGTAATTGTTTAGTAACACACTAACCAGACATTGCTCTGAACAAAGCGCCCTGGCAATTTCATACAATACCTTGCAGAGGTGAGAAGGGAGCCATAGGTGGGAAGGGCCCATTTGGTCCAAGCCTCAAATCAGGGAAAGGACACGGTATCTGGGTGAAGGTACTGTGCAAGGCCAGGTAAAACAGGGTGTGTGTGTGTGTGTGTGCATGTGTGTGCGTGTAAAGGGAAAAGCGGTGTTAAGAACAGGGCTGTAATCCCTGCCCCCCATCATTTTCTTCCTGTCCTGCAATCAATAACATTTTTAAAAATTACAGTTCTACTGGCAGTTACTCAATTACTTTGCCTTCAGGGATTTCAGAGTGGTATTTTTTAATTGGAAAAAGAACGACTGCCTGAAAGACACCTGCAAAACAAGAGCAAATTCATCCTCGGCAGGCATTGGATTAAGAAAAAAAAAATCCTGTCAGATGTCTGCAGATAGGAAAAGAGTTGTGTAACAGTGATATAAACCGTTGGAAGGCAAATGACTTAGAGGCTGTATTTGCAAAGAGGCAATGGAAAAATAAACAAATGAAGGAAGACAGATCTCTGAAAAAGGTTTCCCATTGTCGAGTCATTTGACATACTGAGACAGTGGTAGAATGTATGAAGTACTGATGTAATATAAAAAAATAATCAAACTAAAGTAAGGAGTATCACCCTGCAGTATAGGTAAATTTTTGTAGTGTTCATGGGATATCTTGTATGCTCCCATCTCTCCATCCAGAGACATGAAATTTTATGCAAAAGACTTTCACCCATCTGTGCAACTTAACAATTCACTGGGAAAGAAAGGAAAGCTGATGGGATCTATTATTGTCAGAGGTGATGCTGATACCCTCATGGCATCACTGATATCTCCCAGGCTTTTCCCTGCCATGGCTCAACACTGAAAACTGACACCTTCACCTCTGAAAAGCATTTGACATGGAATCCACCATCAAATCAAAACACTCCTAAAAGTTCAAATGCAAATCAAATCCACAGCTCACCAGAGTTATTATGGTCTAACTCCTAGCTACTGCAACACAGTGATATTATCTTGCTCCATACAAACTTTCAATATCACCCCCATCTCACACTAGATAAAAAGAAGGAAATGCCCTATTCTGCTACCAGAATGGTGCCTGAAGAAAACTTGTGCATATTGAAATTATTTACTGGTGCCTGGTGTAACTGCTTTCTACTCTGGAGATTACCCTGGAACCTCTGCTTAGGATGCATGTACATGACAGGCAATGGGACTGGAACACTCTCTGACTCATGACAACCTATCAACAGACATTGCCAAAGCACTCCACATTTGGCACTGTCTTCAAAAACAAAGCCAAGAGTGGAACAGCTGTGATATTGAAGGTAAACATGTTGAAAAGCATTAACAGAAGGTCTGTAAAGTGCCTGGTTTTAACAAATTCCCCCAAAAAAGGCCATTCATGCTGATGAACAGTCAAATTAAAGAACAGATGATTTGATAAAGAATAAAATGAAATTACAGCTTATTCTAAATGGAACAGTTTCTAAAGATGGCAGGACTGTTACTATGCAATGTGAGAGCAAAACAAAGTTACACACAGTAGAATTACACTGAACCTTTTTAATCTTCTAATATTTAGCCAAGATTTAGAATATTCAAGGAATGGCTAAAGGTAGGATAACAGGAAGAGAGGCTGAATGATAGGAACCAGAAATATTCACTGTACTGAAGTTTTGCTGTTCTGTGTACAGCACAAATGCAGAAAGTTTAAAAAAACAAGAAGCCAACTATCAGCCACTTGTTTATTTTCTCAGGGACTTTGACAGCCCTTTCATCCAATAGACTCAAAGGAAGTTATGCTTCAGTCTGAGCAAAACCTGTGAAAGGCTGCACAAAAGATACCAAACTGCAGATGCCTGCTACTAATGAGCAAATAATAATAATGCTGCTTCCCCTGTTCTCCCACACTTTTTGCAGATCAGACATGAATCTCAGCACCAGGGACAAGTACAGAAATAGATACTCCCCTGCTAATGCTACAAAGTCTCCCCGAGGTTACCTTAGCAAGCACTCATGAGATTATTAGTCTAGAAGACAATCCAAACTCATGCAGCCTAGGGTTATCCCATGAACAAATCAAAGCAGTCCTAGGACAAACTGTCTGACATGTAAAGCATCAATCCCAAATCCCATTGATTGCTACACATGTAGACCCAAGTACCAGCTCACACAAACTGGTCCCGTGGAACACAAAATGAGGATCCACCTTTCTTCTCTCTGGGAGCCGGATAGAGGCAAGGTAAATGCAAAGAGCGTTGGTATTTCAGCATCTAACTTTTTGGTTAACTTGAGAATCTCAGAGACAAGGCAGGTGGACTTCTATGGATGTTAAGGCAAACTTTCCACATTTGGGTACTGCTTTGGTAGACAGTTCTCTCTTGGTCACAAAGATAACTGAAGAAGAACTGCTTTTCTCTCCAAAAGAAGAACGAATCATTAACAGAAACAGATCCTATGCTGATAAACAGCTCTGGCTTACAGTAAATCATCCTTACAATCCAGGAATCACACAGAATCATACAATCACCAAGGCTGGAAAAGACCTCTAAGATCATCAAGTCCAGCCTATGACCAACACCACCACATTGGCTAAAGCATGGCACTAAGTGCCACATCCAGCCTTTCCTTGAACACATCCACGGACGGTGCCTCCACCACCTCCCTGGGAAGTCCATTCCAATGTCTGATCACCCTCTCCATGAGGAAGTCCTTCCTAATATCCAACCTAAACCTCCCCTGGCACAGCTTGAGGCTGTGCCCTCTCATTCTGTCACTAGTTGCCTGGAAAAAGAGCCCAGCCCCCACCTGACATCAACCTCCTTTCAGGTAGTTGAAGAGAGTGATAAGGTCCCCTCTGAGTCTCCTCTTCTGCAGGCTCAACAATTCCAGCTCCCTCAGGAAAGTATTATCCCCATAAGACTTTCCATCTAGTCCTTTCACCAGCCTTGTTGTTCTCTTCTGGACCTGCTCCAGCACCTCAATATCCTTCTTGAAGTGAAGGGCCCAGAACTGGACACAGGACTCGAGATGAGGCCTCACCAGTGTTGTGTACAGGGGGAGAATCACATCCCTGCTCCTGCTGGCCACACTATTCCTGATACAAGCCGGAATGCCATTGGCCTTCCAGGCCACCTGGGCACACTGCTGGCTCATGTTCAGCTGGTCGTCAACCAGTACTCTCAGGTCCCTCTGCTGGGCTGCTCTCCAGCCACTCTTCCCCCAGTCTGTAGTGCTGCCCGGGGTTATTGTGGCCAAAGTGCAGGACCCTGCACTTGGTCTTGTTGAATTTCTTGCATTGGCCTTGGCCCATCAACCAGGAAGACCTGATCTGAATGCAGGAACCCATTCTAGACATTGTGCATTAGTCTGTAGAGCTTCACCACTCACACTTGTTGGCAAAGTACTTCTCCAGCTGTGAAAGTCTCAGGGCCCCTGATGATAAAGCCAGCTAGCCATTCTCTCCTTGTAGACTATCAGACTATTTGGTTTTTACTGAATGGGAAATAACCTTGCTCAAAAGAAAGGCTGGCCACCAAGAAAAGAAGGCTTGTAAATTTGCAGAAAAACACGCTTTCAGGTGTTGCCCTGCAGGTGCAGTTGTCTACAGAATGTTCTCCTCCTATGGTAACCAGGGCCCAATATTGGCTCTACAGTACCAGTTCTTTAGGACCTCATTCCTGTCATTCCTAGTTCTCAGCAGCCTTTCACCTGCAGGCAGGGTGAGACAGCCAAGTTAACACTTTCCAGTGGCCTTCCAGCATGCATTCCAACACAGAGTGGAATTTTTAATGTATAAATATCTTCCAAGAAGAAATCGTCATCAGCTCAATCACTATTGTGGAAGACAAACTTGAATAAACAAATGCAAATTGAGAGTCCTTCTCATGCTCCTTTGTTTTGTTTGTTTGCTTTGTGGGTATATGTTTATTTATTAAAATCAAACAGTCTGTTTGGCAAAGATGTTTGCCATGATGTTGCATTCTCCTTTAGAAGAAACTGATAGTTACAGTTTTACTATCTGCAACATCTATAAAGATTTTATAAACTGTGTGAGTCAAGGTAAGGAAATTAAGAAGCATGAGAACAAAACGTCAATATATTTTCTAGGTGTAACTATAAATTATAGCAGTCTTGCAACATTTCTCTTGTCCAGTGCCCATGGGCAAACAACATATATTTAATAGGTGAATAAAATATATTTAATCCTTTTTTACCCCTTATTATCACTGCTTCTGGAGCTATACATGAGCTGGCAACTGTTAATAACATTTTCATACCATAATATTTAATACACCTCTGAGATACTGTGTATGGCCTTATCCCCAAAGAGTGATGAAGCTAACCAGGGAAGACTGAGAACAGACTAACCCTTACCTAGAAGCAATTAAAGCTATTTTTGTTTATGAATGTTGTTGTATGCCATCCAGTAGTGATGATTTTTAAATTAACTCTCAGCTTTCAGCTTCTGCACAGAGGATATTTTTTACTGTTTTTGGAGACAAAACTTGCAAACCTCTGATCTCCCTTTCTCTCATTACTACTGTGCACATCAGTATCACACTCCTCATATTTCCTTTTTTTCATTTAAATTCCATGTCATACTCTCAAGTGAGTGTCGCTTGATTTCCACCAAGGAGACATGAACAGACTTTTACAAAGGTTCATGCAGCATACAGGATGAGAAAGTGTTTTGTGAGAATCACTAGAAAAAACCCAAACAAATGCAAAATAAAATTGAAGATTCAAAAGCAAGCTGTTGTTGGTGTCAATATGTGGGAAATACTAGAAGGGGATGCAATCTTACATACTAGCAATGCATCTGGTTGTGGTCCCCCCACAGGGAGGCTGGAGAGGCATCTGAATTTCAGGGGGTACTCAGCAACATGCAGACAAACTACACTGCCTTTTCCACCATGACAGGCTGGATTTTTTTTATTCTTCCCACGTGTACAGCAGGCAATTATGGATTTTTATCAGGTCTTTGTGCCATTTGCCATAATTAGGTCTTAAAGAGAAAGCTCACGACAAAATGAACTCTATAACCAGTATCACCATTCACCACATTAATCCTGACCCTAGTGTCTTCACTTTTCCTCTGCTAAGTCTTCAAGATGGATGGAACCAAAAGGCTGGAGTTTCTGAAGAGCCAAAGGAACACCCAGTCCCCAAAGAACACTAGATCAGATATGCTTCAGTCAGCTACTAAGAGAAGGAGGACTAGATTTCCTAACCGCCTGATGCAATCTGGGGTTAATATTTCATTTAGCCTGTTTCATGTAGTTCAGCAAAATCAAGCATCAAGACATGAACTTTGTTATATGACTCCAACTACACAGGAATAATATTTACCTTCTCTCTCTGAATTGCTTTCTTTTTCAGGATTTCAGCTTCTTCAGCTGCCTTCTTTGCTTTTACATATTCTTCTTTCTTGTGCTGTATGATGTAAGCATAGAAAATTATTTTACAAAGAACACATAAAGTACCTAGACTCCTGTATTGCACATCTTTCAAACCTCAAGTGTGCTTGAGGAAAGTTTCCAGAATTTTTTCATTAAATGGGACCCTGAATAAAGCAGGCTGTGCACCAGCTACTCCAATATTTGCTTTAGGAAGGCTGAGAAATCTAGGACTGACAAATGGGAATCCACATAAGGAAACACACAGCTGATTGATAACTTAAAAGCATTTGTACCTTTTATAACAGCAACAACATTTCTACATAAGCAATGGATGGGTTGGCACATTGATCAATTAGAAGTGTAGGCAGCATGCCTGAAGATACAGTGAGGCATATAAGTAGCTTTACAACTGTACTGGTTATCATTTTAGATATGATCTGTGACATGGGTTGCTACATATTTATAGTCAGATTTCTCATTCTCTTTGGTGCAGAACATTTGTTTCTAGTTTTCTGCTGCTTCCTCCAGGTTTCATGACTTTCTTTCATCAAGCAGCTGTGAGCTGCTATGAAACACTTAATGACATGCTCTTTTTTGAGTACTTAAAATTACCAAAGAAATTTATTCTTCCTTACCTTTTTCTGGTATTTAGATTGCATGAGCATCATTTGCTGGTTTTGCCTTGCTTGAGCTTCTGATTCTTTTCCACCTTAAAAAAGGAAAAAAATATAAATTGCATTTTGCATGAACATTTTAAGTTCAAATGCCAATCATTTCAGAACAGAGCAATAACAGATTGGATGTATGTATATACAAGAAATTTTTCATAATTACAGCAGGTGTCTGACACTAAAAAGAACAGACAGGAGACCTTTTTGATCATTTTACCCATCCGTCAAAGGCAGTAGCTTGTTATTTACAGAGCATCCACTGTATCATCCACTCTAGCAGCAAATATGTCCCACAGTATATGATCAGTTTACTGAGCAACTATTTAATTTTCAGAAAAAATCAGTCACGCTTTGCAGAGTAGTCTTCATTTTCAGATCCAGGTCTCCTCACCTTTGCTCAGTTTGTCACACACAGGGTAATAAATTTTATTGCCAAAAAGTTTCTCTTTTATCAAATTTAAGATCTTGGAGTCTCTTCCAGCTCTAATAGGATGCTACATTTGAATGTCTTATAAGTATTGTCCTAGGGCTTGAGGAAGAACCCCCTTTCTGAAATGGAAATTCAAGCCTTTTCCCACAGACCTCTTATTCATACCCAAGTAGCAGAAGATGCCCCTTCCAAAGGCAGAGGCTCTCTTTTGAGAACATCTAAAGCTCTGGCCATAATGTTCAGCTTTCAATTGAAAATAAAATAAAATATATCGCAAACAAACACCAAACAAAACCCCAAGACAAAACACATACACACACAAAAAAAACAACTCAAAAAGACAAAGCACATAGAGATAGTGATAATAGGTCTTAAGGGATGGACAGAGTGGTTTTGATCGTACTGTTCTGCTTTACTGTTTTCCAAAGAGTTTTCTTGCTTTGGGAAAGCAAATAATTCATTATCTCAGGTGTTGCAAAAAAACAACAGCGGTCCCCACACCATTCTGAGGATGAGGGTTGTATTTTCAACTAGTGATTTTCTGAGAAGTTTCCCACTATGTGACCATTAACTCTACAAAAAAACGTCAGACTGATCTGTGCTACTCGAGATGCCTGACATGTGAGACAGCTATACTGGACAATAACATTTCTATTAAACAAGTAGACTGGCTTTATATAATACAATCAAGAGGCCATTGCATTTACCAGGCATGATCTGTTGCTCCACTCATTGCTATGGAGGAAGGCGGAACTTACATCCCATCTCACTGTTCTTATCTCTCTAAGATACCTGAAAGTTTGCTAGTCAAGTATTACAGAGTTGAAATCATGTGAGTCCAGTATCACCCTGACCCCAGAAACAAATCTGGTGTTGTAGTCAGTTCAAATTCCTCTATCTTCCACCTGATATCTATTTTCATACAGAGTAAACCACCCCAAACTTATCTTGTATAGCACGGCAAAGAAAGAACTTAGTTCCCAGGTCAAGAAGACAACCTCAAATTCTCCTATGACAGCCAAGAGAAGGAATAGGTGTTCAAGTTTTAAAAAAACTAATAAAGGTATCATTATAGCTATTAATTTTGTCAGAATGAATTTTGTCCCATTTCTATTAGTGTGGTCCTCAAGGTCACCACATTTTTGCTGTGCAGTATCCTCATCATGTTCTGCATAGATGATGCTTTCAAGCTTTTTCTTGTCAGCAAGTTTTGTCAGCTCTCTACTACTTTCTGTGCCAAAGACATTAAGGAAAGATTCTAAAATCAGATAGGTTGAAAACTAGTACTTGAAAAGCAGTTCTACTGACCTTACTCCAACTTTAGCACAATCTGCAGCCCTATTCTCTGTACAGGACTGGGGGAGGAGGGTTTGAGGTTCTTTATGATCTTTTAATTCTTCTAGAAAATTACTCCCAAATAGCACTACATTAAGTGTTTTATAGTGGTTACAGTCGAAGAGACCCACTACTGTTCCTCTCACTTGTCTAGAAAAAAAGTTGGCTATATTATCAAACACATCAGTTCAATTCAGCATGACCTAAATTCTAGTAGCTTTTTATCCTGTTTTTCATCTACCTACCTTGTTGTTATTTTTATAAAATGGATAATACAGAGTTTCATGCACATTTAGCCTGCAAATGTCTGAAGCGGCTGGGATCACTTCAACCTCTTCAGAAGCCAGACATCCAGAAAACACACATACTGGCCCCTAAAATAGAAGAGTTTTCTTATGGGTAACAGCAGGGAGGGTCTCTGACACATGCTGTCCATCTGCATGCTAATGTCAAGTGTGCATCCCTTCAGAGACATCAACCACAGAAATGCCACCAGCAGAAGGAGTAATCATAGAATTCCCCTGCCATGGGCAGGGACACGTCCCACTAAGTCAGGTTGCTCAAACCCCTCCCACAACCTGGCCTTGAACATTTCCATGAAGGGGGCATTCACAACTTCTCTGAGCAACCTTTTCCAATGTCTCATGACCCTCACAGGAAAGAATTCCTAATCTCTAAATCAAATCTACTTACTTTCATTTTGAAACCAATCCCCCTTGTCCTGTCACTACACGGCCTTGTAAAAGGTCCTTCCCCAGCTTTCCTATAGACCCCCTTCAGGTGCTGGAAGGTTTGTATAAGGTCTTCCCTAAAGACTTCTCTTATTCAGGCTGAACAACTCCAACTCTCTCAGCCTGTCTTCATAGGAGAGGTGCTTCAGCCCTCTGATCATCTTCATGGCCCTGCTCTGGGCTTGCTCCAACAGCTCTATATCCTTCCTGTGTTGGGAACCCTAGATCCGGACACAGTACTCCAGGTGGGCTCTCATGAGAGTGGAGTAGCAAGGGAGAATCACCTCCCTTGACCTGGTGGTCATGCTTCTTTTGATGCAGCCCCAGACACAGGTGGCTTTCTGGGCTGCAATCGCACAATAACAGCTCATGTTGAGCTTCTTATCAACCAACACCCCTAAGTCCTTTTCTTAGTGTTGTTCTCAATCCATGCCCCATCAAGCCTGTATCTGTGCCTGGGATTGTCCCAACCAATGTCCAGGACCTCACACTTGGCCTTGTCGAACTTCATGTGGTTTGCACAGGCCCACCTTTCACATCTGTGAATGTCCCTGTGGATGGCATCCTTCCCTCCAGCACGTCTACCTCTTTCTTACCAAATGTTAGCATAGATTTTCTACACTGGTCTGGACAGATTTCACAGAATCATAGAACTATTCAGGTTGGAAAAGACCCTTGGGAATACCGAGTCCAACCATCATCCCTACTCTACAAAGTTCTCCCCTAAACCATATCCACCAACACCACATCCAAATGACCTTTAAACACATCCAGGGATGGTGACTCAACCACCTCCCTGGCAGCCTATTCCAGTGTCTGACCACTCTTTCTGTGAAAAAAAAAAATCCTAATGTCCAGTCTAAACTTACCTTGTTGCAGCTTGAAGCCCTTCCCTCTTGTTCTTTTTCTTGAGCGACAATCTATGCTGACTTTTTTCAGAAACATCGTCATGGCTATGACCATAAAAAGCACAGAACAGATCCAGTAGGCTCATGTTAACCCTTACTGACATTGAATCTCTTCAATAAGTAGCATGTGAAAAAAAGTGAAAAATGTCTCAAATGAAATTTTGCAAGTCATAGTAGCTGATTTACATGTCTTACCCAGTACCTGTGGAACCATCTTAATTGGCCCTGGCTTATGCTCTTCCCTCCACCGTTCCAGGTCATCTAGCTCTTTCTTAGCAACTAAGCAGGTACAAAAAGAAAGAAACATATGGAAGTTAGAGACAGTACTAAAAGCAGGCAGTATCACTAATTGTATGTAACCCTGAAGACCTGTCCAGTAACAGACAAACTTGTTCTCAAGGGGTGCAAATGCCTGCCAGGTTACATAGTCAATGCAATGATCAACTAACAAGGCAAACGTTTTGCCAAACTCAAGACTGTATGGTAAGCAAACCCTAAGACTCAAACTCAAAAGCAAAAACAAAACAGACAACAGCTGAGGGACTGCTAATAGACTGCTTTTAAATCCCTGGGAACCTGTAGGTAAATGCCACAGTACTTACTCCTGCAGGTAAGGCAAAAGTTGTTATCATTAAGATGTTATTGCTGCATGGAGGGAAATGCTTGTGGTGTAATGCTCCCCAGCAGGAACATGAAGAATAAGTAATTTTGCGTCTCGGTTACAGGTTCCTTAAATGAAAACAGGAGGAATGCATGATTCAGCTTTAAATTAAGATGCTTCAACATAGATGTCCACATGCAAGACAGGTGACATGTTCCCAGTGTAGTCAGTGAATACATCCAGGGCACCAACCATATGCTCTAAGATGGCTGGTTGATCAAATTTTTCCCTTGAATTGACTGACAAAGGAAAAAACACAACAATTCCTTTAAATAGCAAGACCCACAAAGCCTATGAAAAGAGAAGCTATGTTTTAGAGTATAAAGGCTAATTTCACTCTTAGTGAAATGGCATTTTTTAATGGCAGACTATAGCTAACAGACACTCACCTCCTCTAACAAGAGAAAGACAGTTCGTATGTCATTCTCTAAAGAGGCTCAGAAGAGGCACCTGCTTGTTACTTCACCTTTTAAACAAGCATTTAGGTAGAGACTGGATTTGGTGAGGCCCGGTTTCTGCCAGTATCCAAGGCAGTAATAATTGGCACGTTTCAGACCTTTCATGCTGGTGGCATAAAGTGAAACCAGGTGTTTATTAGAACAGCAGCAACTTTGCTGTTAGTGTCGGCTCTAGGATAATCTGTTTTTATTTCTCCTTCCAGAAGACTATGGTTTGGTTCAGAAGTCCATTTTCTTTCTTGCAACCAAAGGAAACCCAACTCTATGTCAGCCTGCTGGTGAAGAATTTTGGCCAAACTCAAAATGTTTGAGAAGAAAGGATTGAATTATAATGTTTCCATTAGGGCTCAAAATGTGAGGAGTGTTGACTGACACTCCTTCAGCTTTCTTATCTTGCACAAATACCAGTGCTTGGTCATTTCTGCATACCAGTTTTCTTTCATGACAGACTGACTCATGCTGCACCTTTGCCCGTGGAAGCTTTTTAACACGTGCCTCATCTTTCTGGTAATGGTTGAAGTTGTTTCTGCTTAGCTACTTTCACCAGCAAGATTCAAAACCAAGGAAAAGTCAACTTAAATCCACAGATATTTTCCATCTAGGATTATTTTTCCCAGCTTCATTAAAAGAGCCACCTACAATCCTTAAATGGAGACTGAAGAACCAATAGTGGTTCCAGTTGCTGTAATCTCTAGATGATTGTTAAAAATATTTATTTTCTTTTTCTTATTCTTCCTCCTAATGAGTGTTCAAAGTTCAGTTCTCCACTCTGAATTCAATCCTGTAAAAGTGGAATTGAGCTAATTCCAGCTGCCTCTTGTAGAAGTCATCTTGAAGAGCTCCAGCACCCAAATTACCAAAACCTTTTCCTGAACAAGATTTACTCTGCATGAAGTTTAGTCAGATGAGAAGTTAGTCTTAAGAAAAGCCTATACAATGATGGGGAATCCACTGACTTTCCTGTGGCAGTTGCACATATAAAAGCATTGTAAAAACAAGGATAAAAGTTGCAAGAGCAATAAATGGCACAGAACCCTAAACTTACTCAAGTAGAAATAACGTATTACCATATTAGACAACTCAACTTACTTCGCTTTAACTGGTTTCTTCTGGTTTCATTTGGAGTCATCAAGACATATGCGCCACCACTAAAATGAAATAAAACACTTTTTCATGTTTTCTGTTTACCAAAAACCAGGACTAAAAGGGAGTTCTTTCATCAGCAAGGTCAGTAGTCTGCTGTTGCAGCAAGTAAGTTCATACCAAAACCAGTATTTATTTTTATTAAGTTCTTCAGGAATTGTTGGTAAATAATCTATAAATACTTGTCATATCTACAGTTGGCTGCAAACGTTAAGGATAACATTGACAGAAAATTTTAGTATAGCTTTCACTTTTCTTATTTAAGTCTCACTCTAGACTGCTGACTTCAAATCTCAGCTGTTTCAAATCAAATCACTTCCTTGAATCAAAATGTTCCATGCAGTAGACGTCCACAGCTTGCTCAAGCACACAGGAAGACCATTGCCTAGTGAGAAGAGCACTGGTGTTAACTGTCCCACTCCATCCACTGAGGGCATCAAGCACCTCATAGATTTAGGCAGTCCACCCAAAAGTTGTCCAAGAAGCACGCAAAATCATGTTGTTTGTGATGGACTCAGGTGACTTGCTCTCAGCCCGAGCCTCTGTTTCCTTGCCAGCCTTGTGTATGTCAGGCATCAGGAATTACTTGGCCATGTTTGTCTTGCTGTCATGCCTAACGTGTGACTCAGTGAATCAGGACAAAGACCCTGCTTTGCTAGACTTAATACAAAATGCGGTTGCTGTCTCAGGGAGCTATCAATCTAAGGTGACAGCAAAGACACAGGACAGGGTTCAGAGTGTATTAGAGACTTGAGGTGATCAAAAGAGTGATGAAAATACGTCAGCTCCACTTGCACAAAACAAAAGGTTTTATCTGCACGTTTTATTGTCTGGCTACAAGGTTAAACTGCTCCCACTAAGCAGAAGTCAAGCCACAGGGGTGCAGGTTTACCAGAAATGCACTAAGTAGAAGTTGGCTCCATGTATCAGAGAAAGCTCACGTCTCTCTGCAGCACTTGGCAGGGTTTTATATGCACATGTGGGCACAAATATTTCATTTGACTTCATCACTGGGAAGGCCCAAGGAGAAGAGCAGAAAACAAAGAATAATGAGGGTGAAGGCTGAGCCTCTTGAAAGAAGAAAGGGCCACAGGGGGTGGCTAGAGGCCTATGAAGCAGAGAGAGTACAGTTGGCTGTGGAAAAGCAATGAGAAAATAAGACCCAAAACTAAGGCTATAAAGGGGAATGAAAATCATACACAGAGATCAAAGTGCAAAAATCTGCTTGCTGCTGTATCACTGTAATTCAGGGTTTAAGAAAGAAAGTATTTATATCCAATTACCTCTTTCTCCTTGAAGACTTACTCTAGAAGGATGTGGATTAATTTATGAGATTACTTTAGTAAAGAAAGAGATGTGAACTTTAATGCTGCCATTTAATATGATCCTTTCCCTTCCAGCCAGCACACGCTGGTGCCATGAGACTGTTTTTCACCTCACCATCAAATCCCAGACCCTCAAAGGCATGAGCTAAGAAAGCAGACATGCTCCTCTGGCATTTGTGGCACAACTGCAATAGTTACTTAAAAGAAGTTGTGACAACCCATTTTGCTTATGGCATAACACTCCACACCAGTGATTTTTTTCAGATACTTTTTTTTATTCGACCAAGTAGTAGCAATTACCATTTAAGTCAAACTGCCTTTAACAAGCTGCTGTACAGTTTATTCATTTTTAAAATTTTTTTTAGCAGTTTTTCTTGGCTGTTTCAGATATTAAGATCATATTTCTCTCAAGTTCATAAAGAAAAAATATTAAGTACTTTTTAAACTCCCCTCCCTTTGTTGTTGAAAAAAATTGGCTGTAATAGTGAGTTGCAAGACTATATCTTTTCCCTCCCAAAAAACATCAGTGCATCTCAGACACCTCACAGCACTAGAGGGCAGATCAGATGTACTCAGACAACTACAGTGTTTGGTTGGTTTTGGTTTTTTTGAAGTTAGGAATCACATGACAATGAAAGCATGGGCCTCTGTGTGTTTGCACAAGTATAACAAATCACAATATCAAATCTAGCCTTCGTGCCATGAATACTTTGCCTTTATCTGCTTCTGCTTTTTGGCTGGAAAAGGGTCAGAGTACGGGAGGGCAGGTGGGGGCCACTCTTCTGATATTTGACCAAGGTCATTATTCAGGAGCTCAGCAGGACAGCATACGAAATACAGCAAAAATTAATTGGTTTATGAAAGGGGTAGAGGTGACACTACACTTATAGCCAGGGAAAGTTTTGCTATGTTTTCCAAAGAGCAGCATAAGAGTCATTTGGGTTAAAACAGTACTTAGTTACAGACCAATTGCTGTGGTTTTTTTCCGTGTTATTGAAATACAGGCAAAGTTAAAATAAAAATGAGGATGTCAAATCTCCAGTGGAGGAGGGAAAGGGAGAACAGGATACCAACTTCTGGCTGTTTTTTACCTAGTGCATATACTTTGGTTTAGTCCAAGTCAACAAAACAAACAAACAAACAAGAATAATAGTGAGTTTTTAATCTAATTTTGTAGTGTTCACCTTGGTCTCTGGAAAGATATATCTGTAAGGGTTTAGCCTTGGGTACTGGGATCAGGAGGAAGGAAGAGCGAGCAAATGGCAAAACTTCCTGTGGGGTGGGTGAAAGTCGGGGTATGAACTGATCCTTGCTTTTCAGGCTAACAGCAGGAGAGGAGCCAGATGAACTGTTGCCTGAGACACAACATCTGCCCAACCAGTTCTACTGCCAAGACTGAAATCTGTAATTTTCTTAAGTACTTCTTTAGAAGGAAAGAAAGTTAATGCAATCCAACAGCAGCTTTTTCACCTGGTGTTTTTAGCCTGTTTGCAGGCTATTGCATGTCATTTCTTTGTTCAGACAAAACTTCTGATTTAGTAAAGCCTATAAAACCCACTACAGCCTGTCAATTAAATATTCCAGTCAGTTTCTGAGTTGCCACAGTAGCCGTAATTCTGGAGCGAATTATCCTACTTACCTGGGTAGCAATTAAGGAAATGTGAAGATCTGAAGCTATCAGTGGTGTCCAGACTTTTTGTACTTCACCAATATAGGAAGTACTTAAAAAACCACAACCAGAAAAGATTATATAGAATTTAATTTTTCAGGTTCCCTAATGATGATTCCTATTGTTAAATGTCTTAAGCTTATCTTTGAGGTAGGGTTGTTTTATAAATCAAAACACAGAAGTCACTGCATAAGGAGGAGAGAGCACCTTATCCAGGTTATAGCTCAGAAAAGAGAAACAAAATGTCTTCTACCTTTATAGATCATATTAATCTTGATGATACTTTTTTAGTTTATTTTCTCCACAAAAATGGGAATGTAAAGACTAATTATACAGACTGAACAGATATTAATGAGCTTAAGAAAATTATAACCCAATAAGAGAATGTATCTGTATTGAAAAACAAAACAAAACAAAAAACAGCCTAATATGATTATTCAAATAGATAAACATCAAATATCACAGTAGTGGAAAGAGAAACACCTATATATATAAAAATAGACAGATACAGAAACATATCAGGAGACACAAGCAGTTCAGTCATAGAAAATCTGCAAGGGTAGTTTACAGTTTGAGTGACCACAAATACAGAGAACATTTCTGCAATCTTAAATTCTGAATCCTGTGTGTAACTCTACTCATCTAACTAACATAACTCAAGGACACTTTTTCAATGCCTTCAGGGTACAGACTATAGGAACCGTTGTTCTGCTCTCCTTCAGATTTGTATAAAAAAGCTTATTTCTAAAACTGAAAACAACCCAAACACATGAGAACTACTGTTCACCAATAATTGTTTTTTCTTTTGCAGAGCTGTGTCCTTCAATTTTTCCTTAAGCCTGCTCCAGCTATCTACCACTGGGGAGCTTTCCAAATGAAGTGTGAAATAGTTTAAAGAGTTATAAAAGTAATGCCTGTTATAAACTGTTTCCAGTTCCACTGTGTTTTATGCTGCCAGTGCATCTGTACATGAATGCCACAAAGCTGAAAGCTAAATATTTCACTCCGCTGGGCAATGTGATCTCTGTAAGTGATGTGAACCAAGGAGAGTGCAGTTTGAGAGCAACACAAGTCTAAAGCTTGGGAAACAGACTTGGGCAGGTTCAGCCTAGAGGAAGGACTCATGGGAAGATATAGGGGAAATACTGCATTAAATAACATATTAAGACTGCATTTAAAAGAGAAAAGGGACCAAACTGCCCGAGACAATTGTAGAATCTCCTTCAAAGATATGCTAAGCTGAACTTTGCATTCAATTATCAGGAATTGTTTTAAGAGTAGTCAAGTCCATTCCAACACCAAGTATTATTTTCACCAAAACTCCCATGCCTGATGGAGGAGCCATATGCTGCTAAGCACCATGGAAGCTGCCAAATCAGAGGGCTAAAAGATGCCAAATCCCAGCAAGCAGACAATTGTCCCATAGGTATCCCTGTTGCACAATGTGCACATGGCCAGATGTTAATGACAAATGACAACCAGTCTTCCTCAGTTGAGCACTATGCTCTGTGCCCTGGTGATGCCATAAGCAGAGCTCTGGAAGGGAGTACAAACCTTGTGTGCAGGTCTAGGGCTGTGGCTCTCCATCTTTATCAGTGGAATCTTACCAGTTTGCAGCTGAGACAAAAGCAAATTACTGGGGCTTAACATTATACACATTCATCCTAGTTGCATGTGTGCTCTTAAAACAAAAGGCAGAAAATAAACTATGTTAGCAGAAAATGTTTATCATCAATAGTCTACATCCATGGATTTCGTACTGTGTTTGCCACAGGCTAGGAATGCACTTAATTATCACATTTCAACTGATGTCTGGAAGCTTATTAAGCCAGAGTAACTCATTTCTGTATCTAGTCCCTCCAGTTAGCTAAAGCTTTCATTAAAATAGCCAACATTTTTGCCATAGCAAGACCTCTGGATAAAATGAAGAGTTAAATCCTGAATGAGGAAAGAGTGAGAAGGAAAACTGCAGCAGAGAGAGGCCCAGGAGAAGGAATGAGTCAGAAACAAGGAGGAAAGCAACAGACCTGAGGCTCTTCTGTTGGCACCCAAATCTCAGTTCTCCAGTACCCACAAGTTTGTAGAGCAGCTTCTGAAGATAAAAATTGATCCAAAGAATAAAATTGAAAACTAGAACTGAATTTCCTAGAGTTAAGATGGGTCTCAGATTCAGCAGCTTGGTTTGGGCTCAGCATGCAACAGCACAGCTGAAAGAAAGACAGGTGTTTCAGCCAGCATCCCACTTCGGGCAACCTAAACCACCTTCTAAAGCTCCTAGGAAATTGTCACAGTGATGGATCAAATGAGGAAGCCAAAGCAGTACCTCTCCACCCAAACTCGGCTTGCAGCACAGCTTTGTCTCTTCCCTAAAAATGCTAACTTACCAGTACTTAGCATATGGTCATGGGCAGGCTAAACCAACATAAGAGTTTTGCTGTGGCAGTGTGGTGGGCTAATATTCGACCCAACAAAGTCTGTGAAGTTGGATGTGGCCATGTTTATACTGTCACCAGGTCCCAAAACGGCTCAGTCACCTCAGCACAGCACAGGGCCGGGGACACAGCAAGCAAGCCAGAGGCAGCTGGAGCACCTGGGAATCAGAAGCCATGAGGAGCACAAGCATGGGCAGGCCAGGCACTGGGCTTGGCAACACCAGCACTGAGCTGAGCTGCCCCCCACAGAGGTGTCTGTGTGTTGTGAGTCAGGCTTTCCAGCAGGTCTGGAGAGCTGAGCAGGTCAGACACTGTACCACATGAAGATGAAGACTTAAGCTAGTGGCATGCTCCTCTCTGCTTCTCTCATTTTCTCTTCCACAATATATTTCCTCCTCTTTTCTTTCTGCACCACAGTATTTGTTGTCCCTTTGTTGGCTGTGCCCAAACACACTATCCTCCTATATGTTCCTTATTCATCTCAATGCAGCTCCTCATCAAGCTATGCATCAAGGGAACAAGGCAGGGCTTGCGCAAATCAAGCTCTTCTGAGAGGCCTTTCTGCTATAGGAGTTAGAAAGACTTCCTCCCCACCCTCCAAGCATTATAAGGAACACAGCAACCCCCATTGTCCAGACTGACAGAAATCTTACTGCATAGTTATCCTCTTATACAGACCCTGCCATCAAACACTTGACTGGAGACAAGGTTGGCTACTGATCACAGTGAAGCTGGATCACCTCATTGGGCTGTAAAGATTAGTATTTCTCCCTGAAAGATAGAGTTGGGAGATGTGCCCTGGGTAGCAAATGCAGACCTCAGCTCTAAACAGACTGCCCAAAATTCACGTGACCCTTCTAACATTCCCACCAGTTCTGGGGCAGTGGGCAAAAGAAGAATTTTGCTAAACATCTGCCTCCAGTTTCATAGACTAATTTGGCATTTAAATAAATAACTACATTCAGGTAATAAAATAAAATCTTCAGAACAGAACAGAAAATTTTCAGGAGTATATTCTAAAAATATCAGCAAAAGATTGAGAAGTCTTACAACACAACAGATAAATTATTTATTTATTTTCATTCAGGATGAAGATTGGAAAAGGAAGGAAAGAAAGCTCTGGTGGATTGGTTCTAGTAGTTAAATAATACAATTTCATGAGACAAACATTCTAGTAACTCTGCTCTCCTTTATCACAAAATAATGAGGGACTGTTACCAGCTGTGCAACAATATATCTTTAGATTTTACTATTTTGAATTTGAGTTTTTTAATGGGTTTTACCAGGACCAATATTATTCTTGTTAGCTTTAAAGGTGCCAAGGACAGGCTGCTGAATGGGGCAGCATTTTCTTTTTCAGGCACTAGATATAGTTCAACCTCTAATTTCTTTACTTTTCTCCACTTTTTCTTCTGTTCAGACTTTTTTTTTTCTGAATAGACATGAACAGGGGCAATTTGGGAATTCACTTTCTACAAGTTAATTTCATGGCACTTAGCAGACAAAGTGAAGTAACTTAAATGCAAGCTTATTATTATAAGCAGTTTCAAGCACTTGCCACTCTCATGATTTTTTTCTCCACAGCCTGAAACCTCATCCCATATAGAAAAGGAGGGGGATGTAAAAACTTAATTTCAATTTTGCATTTGAATACGTTTTTTTCTTAACTTAATTAGCATCATTTATTATCACTTCTCAGCCTTGACATATCATATAAGAGCTGTTCCAAAGGAAGAGAAAAATTACTCTTTAATACTAGCTGCCCACCTTGTACTTTTAAAGTCAAGTTTGAATATTGACTAGTGAATGAAACTATAACATGCCACACGACACACATGTCACGTGTCCAGTCTACATGAAAGTTCTCCTGATCCCACCATATGATGCTTCTAAGATGTTTTCTCACTCCTAGTCACTCTGAAATACCAGCTGAAGACCAAGAGTTTGTGTGGAACTCGGACATATACTCAGAGGCTTCAACAGGGATTCCGACTCCTGCTTTTGCTGGCATTAAAACCATATCCTGGCTATTTCCAGAAAAAAGCAAGAAGCACAGAAGTTGGCATGGAATCACTCCTTAGCAGAGAGGTATCCTACTTGGGCCTTGCATGTTCCCTCTGCTATGAGTATCCAGAAAGCCTTCCAGATTAATGCCATTCAGTGCATTTTTTCCCTACTGACAGCCTATGACTTTAGCTCTCCAACTGCTCTGTTCAGTCTTTAGTTATCCCAGAGCCTGAAAATCTGGATCATTTTGAGGGTGTCATAATATTCTAGTTTTAAGGATCTTGTTCAAAAGGATTGATGGCTAAAAATCTGAGACAGCTTTGTAATTTGTTTATCATTTATTGGCCTCTCCCTCAAAGTGTTCAAGACCAGGTTGGACAGGGCTTTGAACAACCTGGTCTAGTGGAAGGTTGGAACTAGATAATCTTTAAGGTCCCTTCCAATCCAAATTTTTCTATGATCATTGCTGAAATGTATCTTAACCCGAGACTTTTCTTGAAAGGTAACCTGAAACAACAAAACGAAGATACAACAAAGAATGTAACAGTTATTTTTTTGTTTTAAGTATAAAAATCTCCCCTTGTCTGCTTCAGTATTTCAGATACCTTTTACCACTTCAATATGAGTTAGTTAAGAAAATCACAGTTTAAGTGGCTTCATCCCATTAAAACTTACAGTTGGCAACCCCCTCCTTAAGGGAAGGGAGCAAACCCCAGTTTTGTTCACTTTATTTTTTGAGTATTTGTTTCCCACTCATATTACATGGTTTGTTTGAACCTGCCTTTCCCTCATTCCACCTTCTCATTAACTGTGTACTACTGCAGAATTTAATTGTACACTCCAGGGTTAGGAATTAATTCTTTGTTACAATATTATAAAGACACAGAATCTTTCCTATTGCATCATAAAAAAATACCAAGCAGTAGATACACAACAACTTTCTGTCTGAAAGCATCACATAAAGATGAAAAATGGATTAGGGCTTTAAATTATTTTTTTCCCCACAAGCTCACTTAGTTTTACAGGAGATCCCATCCTTGGATCAGAATCTGTGTGGATATATTTGTTCCAGCCTTAAATTCTGCAGGGAGCTCAGGTTAACCAATTGACTAAGTACATACCTAACCTATACCAGAGGGTTTGTATCCCAGACCAAATCCAGGAAGTTATTCCAGTGTGAAAACCCCCACTATCCAGTCTGTCCTGCCAAAAAACCCAAGATGAACCTACCAATAAAAAAAATGCACAGCGAAAGCTAACTAGGACTGCTCTCACTGTACTGTGGATGTATGCCAGCTGGAGGGCAGGCAAGACACAAGGTCTTTCATGTTTGGAAGTGGCAGAAAAACAAACATAGACTAACTCAGGAATGGTTCTTTGCTCGCCTGAAAGTCAGTCATTAAAGTGCTGATGAATTTCAAAGCTACCCAGCTTGTAATAGTCCCTGCATCATTACTACCTAGTAGGCAAGCACTCATGGGTTACAGTGGTAGGCTGCTGATTGCTGCCTGTGATTGCAGCCTGCCACCTTTTTCACAGTGTGGCACCACCTTCTTCATCCAGAAAGAAGGAAAAGGAACCGAAACTGCCCTCAGTTTCTGTCAGCAGCACTTTAAAAAGCAGGGGGGGGGAAAAAGGCAAGCTAAGCAAACTCAGCACACAGTAATAACAGCCTTACATGCACTGCTACTAACAACTCAGAAAAAACACATTTGGAGAAAAAAGACTAAATAACTCAACTTGGTCAGCTAAACACATATATATATTAAACACATGTATAAAATACATTACTCTCAGTTTCTATTCTTTATTATATTTGCAAGCTAGAGCTTATACAAGCTATCTAAGAATTGTCACTGGAGAACCATTGATGGAATGAGCATAGATATCAATGAAGCCTAAAATAAAATTGAGGGCTGAAGCTTCAGCTTTACTTTTGCAGTATGTTGTTGGAAGCTGTTCTATGTCCTGGACTGCATTCAGATCAGTGCTGGAACACAGCCTATATCCATCTCTTAAGCTAGAGGAAGTATTTTTAAACTTTCCAAGATGAAATATTAGGAGACAGAAAACACAGAGCTAAAATGAGATTTGAAATTTCAGTTTGAAAAAAGATGCCAAGAAACCCACTCTATGTATGGCAACACCAAACATACAGAACTGACCACTGCTATAGCATCATGTGTGAGCCATGCCATCACACCTTGAGTGCCAGGTAGGAAGCACTGCTCACAAGTAGGCTTCAGGCTGACTGCAGATGGCTCTGAGAGGACAAGGACAGGTTGCTTCTGTCCCCCATGCCATTCACACGCTCTCTTTAAAGTATTTCTGTCTTCAAAGGTTCATACCTTGAGTAAGTGCACACCCCACCTTCTCAGCCAGGCTCCTTGCTACTTACTACTGCTTTTGCTGTTGTTGTTGGTTGACCGATGCTCGGCCACATTTCTCCTCTCCAGATGCTGTCAGCTTCTGAGGATTTTCAGCCTTCTCCTCCCTTCTATTGTTGCCATCCCAGAGGTAACCCTGAGAAGAAAATGGGGTACTGGAGGCAGCAGCCATCCTGTACCTGCTGCCACCCCTCCAACCTCCAACACCAGACATTGCTTTGGGAGCGGCTTGCCTTGTCAGAAAGGAGTACTGCAGCTTAGGCTAGGAAAAGACTCAAAACTTTGAGTTTTTACAGATTGGTTTCGATTCCCTGTAAGACCCGCCCCCCTGGGTGGACTCTGAGCTGCAACACATGTAAATCCATGCATTTATTTCTGAGTCCTCCTGATGAAGCTCAGTTTGGTCATCTGAGCCACAGCACCTAAGCAGACTGGAGTCAGAAGGTGACAGCAAAGCTGAGCTATACTAATAAAACAGTCCACAACAGCTTGTGCAGTCTTGGGGTAGACTGTTTTGGCATAAGCACAGTGAGGTTCGGCTGAAAGCTGTATTTCTGATAACTTTTTTACCCCAGCACTTCAGATTTGCCTGTGAGAGAGGGGAATAACTGGTTGCTGGTTTCTATTTTGCAGGAGTGTACAAAGAAAGATAAAAGTAATGGTTTCTATTTTGCAGGAATGTACAAAGAAAAATGAAAGTGAAACTAAAACCTAACGCTCAGATAAATACTAAAGGAATGGTCCTGTGCAACTTCAATTCTGCCTTTCAATTCTGCTCAATCAGAAAACTTTTTTACTTTGACTTTACTAATTCTACCTCATGAATAAAGGGCAAATACACGATCTTAAGTGAAAACACAGATACCTTCAGTGATCACATCTGAAGGGATGCTGTGTCTAGCTTTCCTGACTGAGAAGACTGTCTAGGTCTCACAGCACACCCCACACATGTTGGAAAAGCAGCAAGATAAAGAGCCACATGGGGAGCCACAGGCTGCCAGATGTTCGTGGTGCTCTTTGGGGTGCTGCACAGGACCTCATCATGAGCAGCATGCCTGGCAGGCCTGCCACATCCAGCAGCACATACCTCCTAGGGTCTCTCCCTCCCATCATCCCTCCTAACACGCTCTGCAGCTGGGATGATCTTCATTTGTACATTAATCATTCTGCAGAGACATGCAATGGCTGTGCATTGCAAAGGGACCAGGTGGTCCATAGTCCCTTGCACTCCTCCCAGAGCTGTCTCATTTTTGGCTTGTGATGGATGTAGTCTGGTCTATGAACACAGAGAAACATTTTGGGAGAGTCCAGTATGGTCCACCCAAGGCCTCTCTCAAACAGAGAATCACACACAGAATCCTAGGGGTTTGAAGAGACCTCGAAAGATCATCAAGTCCAACCCCCCTGCCTTCTGCCAACCCCTGATCTTGCTAATCCAAATATCTCTTGAGATAACAATGTGGCATTCATTGAAACACACACAGAAGACATGCCACATTGGCAGTAGTCTGTCTTCTTGGTTTTAGGAAAAGAACTTGTCTCTGGGACATTTTCTAGGGAGCTGGCTCAGCTCCCTGGGGATGGATGCCAATTATTTTTTTACTGCTTGCACCATTAATCATTGTGCTCACTCACAAAGCTCCTGTCTTGGTTTGGAAACTGCCTAGGAGGCAAGGGTAGGCTACATCCCTCCTAGGCTCATGTTGTTTAAAGCCATAAGCTGTACACAAATTAATGTGCTTAGCCTGTAAGACATTGCTGGGTCATATCTTCTAGGCAATTATTGATGTTGCCAGCAGCCAACATAGGCAGTTTCTTGTTCCCAAGTGTTTCAGGTTAGCCTGGGCAGGACTGTCTCCTCTGGCAGATATCAGGCACTGCTAAAAGAGCAAAGGGCCTCACAGCCTTGAAGCAGATGTGTGGGTTTACCTCCAGTCTCTGTAGAGATCACAGACATTTTGTCTTGGACAGTGATTGTATTCTTACCGGAAATCAAAAGCATGAAACTTCACAATCTGAGTCATCAGGCTTGCTGTCCTGCCTCATGTGGGCTGCCAGGCACAGCTAAAGGCAGGCCCTGGTTAACATATCCCAATCCAGATTCCTCTTCCTCTCTCTCTCTCTGTTGTACAAGGTGCTGGCAAACAAAGGTATGGATCAAGCTTAGTCCCTTATGTAGGACTGTGAGCTAAATACATGAGGTGCAGAGAGGTTAGAGGCAGAACAAAATGATAGCACAGTCAGGTCCAAGGACTGCAAAGGTTTGTGGGGTAAGTGCTGTGCCTAATGGCACCCTATTTAGTAAAAATCCAGCTTTGATATCTAGATTCTTCTTAACCTGTGCAGACTGATGTCTTAATAACCCAAATTTAATTACAATAATTGATTATAATTAATCTGGCTGTAGCTGCTGTATCTTCAATCCTAAATTGGTATGTAAAATTCAGATCTAGGATCTGTTTCCTGTTGAAATTTAGAAAGTTTTTGCTGCAAACAGTAATGGTAGAATTTAAGTAGTCTACATCTACATTGCTCAAAAAAAGAGGGGTGTAACACAAACCTAAGCATCAGAAGCTCAATCACATTGCTTTGATGGTAGTTTATTTTTTAGCTCTGTTTTGGACAATCCTAACTAAGTCTTTCCAGGACAACATCCAGGCCTGGCTCTGAGGATAGTTCATGCCAGATGACCTCTGGAAAGTCAATATGGATACAACTGTACCACGTTTAGTTCCTTCTACCGTAAAAAACCCTCCAACAGTGTTCCAGCAATCTCTAAATCTAAAATACATCCAACATATCTCTGTGTCATTCTGCACAGTAAGTCGTTCATCAGCCCTTCAGTTTCATGCTACTAAACCACAACTTTTGATGGGTGGCAAGACCTTCCCCTCCCCCTCTACATTACAACATTGACCTGAAATATTCCCCAAAATAATAATTAAGTTTTAGGGTGACCGCAGTACTGCCAGGTCCCTCAGGACACTTGGAGCTTGAACACTATATAGGAAAGATGTGTATTACCTCCACTAGGCTCCTTCTAGCCACTTAGGCTCCTCCTAGCCTAAGGGAGGCTAGTCTTAGGCAGCATACATGTGCGCAAGTCTGTGCGAGCTGGATTTAGGGCAAAGGATCAGTCTCTGGCCCCATTTGATTTAGTGTTGTAGATACTAAATAAATGCTAAAGAGTCTGTGATTCCAAAGTATCAGAATGCCAACATGTGCAGCTTCCTGAAACAGGCAAACACCCACCAAATCTCAACCTGTCCCAACTCCTCCATAAGATTTTTAAACCAGTACTTACATTTTTCTAGAGCCACCAAATACTGGCTGCCTATGCTATCCAAGGGTTTATATGTATAGCTGTTTTACATCCTGAACTGTGTCATATACTGTGGTGCATTGGCCCTTGCTAGCCCACACAGCTAGTGGCTACCTCCCTTCCTGCTGGTGGGACAGGGGAGAAAAAAGGAAAAGGAGTGAGAAAATTAAACTGTCAAAATAAAGCTTTTTTGTCAGTAAAGCTCTGTTGCCTCCAGCTATTAACATTTTATTATTTATTATTTTTTTTTAAATTTTGTGGGAGGAATTTTTATTACATTAATTAAAAAAAACAACTTCCATAGAGGAACATTCTATATTGAACCTTTATTTCAAACTCAACAGCACTATCAACAACTAAAAAACGAGAGATTTCAGAGATCCTTTCTCACTATAAAGGATACACGGAATCCCCTATCAGCCACTTCATCCTTTCCTTTCAGATGAGATAAAACTCTCTTCTGTGAAAGAAATAGTATTCAAAAAAGAGAAAGAAAAGAAGTATTTAAAAGAACATTATGTCCCCTACCTCTCCTTCCCTCTAAACTCCTGTTCACTCTTCACTATTTCACTGTTGGTTTAGAGATGCTAAGGTTTTGAATTCTTAATTTTTTTCCAGAACCACAGACAGTTTCCATTAAAAGCTATGATTTTCATTTAACCCAAGGAGACTAGAAGGCTAAAGCCTGAAGGAAAGCATCAAACTGCAGGAGACTTTTGAGAAAGACAGCCAAGACAGGCTAGAATTTCTTCTGCCCACTCCCTATTTTTACCAGGAGACAGCAAATGGTATCAGAAGGACTTAACTGCTGGAGAACTGCTCTTTCCTTTGCCATCAGCTAAAATACTTTGTCCTACAGCTGAGCATGATGCTCAAGGTCTCACATGCACGTTTTTTTCCTTGGATATTTTGGCTAAGTAGGTAAGACACACAGCTGAATACACTACAGAGCATATATATGTAATTGATCTTTGGGAATATCTCCCTGTATTTTAGGGCAATATAGAAGAATATCTATAAATGGCATTGCATGTAGTATTTTTATACAATGACAGCAAACTGTACATTGAAGTTTACAGATGCATTTCACTTTGCCAAACTTTTTCTGGTTGAGTACTCTAGCTTGCTGTATACTTATTTGTGAATGGAAAACCTTAAACTGGGTGACACACTAATGTTTAGCTCTGCTTTTAAAATACTTGATCTGAAACACATTTATGGCAAGCAAAAGATCTGAGCTCTCTGTAGATCAAGCCCACAAAATGTTATGATGAATGAAAGCTGTAGTATTGCTTTTAGTTTTGTGCATTCCACATAAAATGTTAGAAGCAAGATTGCTTCGTTAGGAGGACAGTGCATTCTGCAGGGTTAACAGCACTAATTGTTACAGCTCAGGATGCTGAAAAAGCTTCCCTTCTCCCCACATAGCCCCAGACAGAGGGTGAAATATCAACATTTGGCCAGGATTCATTCTTGTTTAGATTTAGGACTAGAATTTGTCAGGCTCAGCAGAAAGGATGCCATTAGCTGTGACAAGTGTGTGTGTGTGTCTGTGTTGGGTAATCTATTTAGGAGATGTAAAACACTTCACACACATCCCATTTTATTGCAAAAAAGCTGAAATTGATGGTACCTGTCAAAAACTATCATCTTCCCCCCTTAAAAAAAAAAAAAAAAAGACCCTTGCTTTCTCTGCAGTATCCTTCAGCATTAGAGCAGGTCCACCTCTCCTTTAGCTAATACTACTTCAATAAAGGGACTGAGGAGATCGAAAATATACTTGACCTGTATTGCTATATTGAGGTCCTGAAGTAGTGCCTGAAAATTCTTGCTATGTTTTGTTAGTATTCTTATGCCTGAAGAGTGCTATGCATACCTACATCACTATACAA